AGCCCTCAAGCTGCCCAACTTCAGGAGCCGCAGAGCCTGTGGGGGGCGGGCGGGCGCTCTGAGCTGGAGGGAAACAGTGGTGAGTAGGGAAGGGCAGGGAATAGACCTGGGGCACTAGAAGGAGACCCCAAATTAGTCCAGGCGGCTCGCACAGTATCCACCTGCAGGCGGAAGGACCGGGGGGCATGGAACTAAGTGAGTGCACGCAGAGACCTCACTTCCTGCCGTCCCCGTCCTGCGTGGGGGACCTGCTTCCAGCCGAGGGTGCAGAGGGGAGCGCTCCCGCCCATCCTCAAGGCTGAGGCGGGGGTGGGGGAGGGGGCTCCCTGCAGAGCCCGTGTCCTCCGCCTGGAAGAGCCGACTCAGCCTTCACCTGCAGTGCCCGCGGGGGATGGGAGCCCTAGGCTTGTGGGGAGGAGGGGGAGGTAGGCAAGGGCACGGGCCCTAGGGGAGCCCAGGGGAGGAAGCTCGCAGCCCGGCCCTAGGTACGAAGGAGGGACTCCTCTCAAAATAGCTCTGGAAACCTCCCCAGCGCTCCCTCCCCTCCTCCCTGCTGGGGGCTTGGCTGTCTTTCTGGGAACTGCCAGGGGAGGGACCCTCCCCGGGAGAAGGTGGGACTGTCCCCAGGGTGAGTGCCTTCCTGGGAGCATCCCCCGGGCCAGGCGCTGAGCTCCGCCCCATTCCTGCTGGTCCCACTGCCCACCACACACACCCTCTCACCTGCTCTCCCCTCGTTCCAACCCAGCTCCTTGGTGGGCAGGAGCCGGGCCCCCTGGTCTGGGACAGGGCTGCTGGGCTAATTGCTGCGAAGAATGGACATGGCCCCCGGCCCCAAGAAAACCTCCTTCCCCTTGAATGTAGGCCCTCTCTCCTCCAGCCTGAGCCCCACAGCTCCTGGGCGTGGACCCCTCCACATCCTTGAAAACATGCCTCTCAGGCTATTTCTGAGCTGGTTCCCCTGAGACCTGGGCTGCACTATCCCATCACCAAGAATCAAGCTGGTCCGGGAGCAGCTGGGGGCTGTGTCCAAGTCAGCATTCCCACCCACAAGGGACTTCAGTAGAAGGAGGGAAAGGGGGCAAGGCGCCCCAACGTTCCTTCCCACCCCGACGCTGGGAGGGCTCCCCAAAGGTGGGAGAGAAGGAACACCGACCTCTTGTTGCCCCCTCCCCTGGCACCCCCTCCCCTGGCACCCCCTCCCCGGCACCCTCAGGAGGATCCTCCACGCTTGCCCAATGGACAGGTGTTTTGAGAAATTTTGAGGAGAGTGCTCTATAAATGTGAAAATTCTCTAACTGCTAGCTAAGACTTGGAAACAGCCTAAGTGCCCATCAGCAGATGAGTGGATTAAAAAGCTGTGGTACATCTACACAATGGAATACTACGCTGCTGTAAACAAGAAGGATCTACTACCATTTGCAGCAGCATGGAGGGGCCCGGCGAGCATTATGCTGAGGGAAATAAGCCAGTCAAAGGCAAGTATCCCATGATCTCAGTCACATGTGGAATCTAATGAACCCAATAAACTGATGACCAAGAACAGACCCAGAGCCACAGACGCATGCAGAGACTGTTGAACCTCAGAGGGAAGGCAGGGGAGGGTGGGAAGAGCTCAGCCAATGAACCTGTGTGCATAGGTGACCGCCCGTGGACACAGACAATGGGCTGGGGAGGGTGGGGGGTCGGTGCAGGGGTTGGGAGCGGCTGGATGAGGCTAATGGGGGAAAGGAGGGCCTGTGTAATGCTTTCAACAGTAAAGATTAAAAAACACACACAAATAAATAAAAATTCCCCAGCTGCTAATGCGTTTCCCAAGCATCTCCCCCACCGTGGTGGCCCCTGATGGAGCTGGAGGCTGGGGAGTGAAGCAGACAGCAGGGGTGGTCTAGGCTGTAAGAGCCGTAAGAGCCGCCGCCCCGTGCCCTGACACGCTGGGCCTGTTTCTTCATCTGTGAGGCGTGTGTGTGGGTTTCCCAAGAAGTGGTGCTGAGAACTGGTTAACGGTGAGGCAGCAGGGGCGGTGGGGGCAGACGGAACGGGCACCTTCTCCTGTCCCAGGATCTAAAGGTATCCAGGGAGGCCTGGCCAGCTGCTCAGTGGTTAGACGCCGGCCCGCTGCCCTAAGGGTCTCATTTTTGATTCCTAGTCAAGGGCACATACCTGGGCTGTAGGGCAGACAGGGGCGCGTGCAGGAGGCAAACAGTTGCTATGAGAAATACAATGGAAAAATGTCTCCTGGTGAGGGTGAACAAGGAAACAAACACACAAACAAAATAAAGGCATCAGGGAGCTCTGCCCCCGCCCCTCAGGGCAGGGTCACTGTCCTTCCCTTTGGCTCTGTGCCTGTCTCACCTCACCTTCTGCTCTGAGAAACATGACCCTGCTGTAAAAATAAAGTGGCAGCGCGGTGCCCGGCCTGCGGATCCCATGTCCGAGGCTGCCCGGGAGGGAGAGGGTGAGTGTGCAACCTGGGGAGGGAGAGGCTGAGCCTGTGGGGCCACAGACGCTGAGGGTCTAAGAGCTTCAGTGGACTGCAGACCCACCCTGTGCCCAGCAGCCGCCAGCACCTTTCATGCAGTCACAGCTCAGCCAGGCTCCAGAGCCAGGGCCACTGTGATGTGTGCATGACCTGGCAAGTGTACAAAAGGAAATGACATAGATGTCTAAATATAAGTTAAAGATTAAATATCAAAGTGTTCAAATTTAGCCCTAGCCAGTTTGCTCAGTGGATAGAGCATCGGCCCGTGGACTAAAGGGTCCTGGGTTTGATTATGGTCAAGGGCAGTACCTTGGTTGCAGGCTCGAGCCCTGGCCCTGGCTGGGGTGCGTGCAGGAGGCAACCGATCATAATCTCTCTCTTTGTCCCTCCCCCTTGCTTCCACTCTCTGTAAAAAACAATGGAAAAGTATCCTCGGGTGAGATTAACAACAATAAAAAAAAGTGTTAGCATTCACCTATTATCCCCCCTTCCCTGCCTTGATTATGTTTCTTGGCCTTAATTTTAAGACCAGGTCCAAAATCCATGATGGCCCACGCTCCTCCGGCCCGAGGGAAGGCTCTGGGGCATCCTGGGACCGCTGCCCCGCATGCCGTCCGGTCAGCCCCCAGTGCCTGCAGACGCTGCCCTCGCCTGTGGGTGCACACCTGCGGGTCAGCCCTGAGAGGATGCTGCATGGTCTAGAACAGGGGTGGGCAAACTTTTTGACTTGAGGGCCACAATGGGTTCTTAAACTGGACCGGAGGGCTGAAACAAAAGCATGGATGGAGTGTTTGTGTGAACTAATATAAATTCAAAGTAAACATCATTACATAAAAGGGTACGGTCTTTTTTTTTTTTTTTTTTTAGTTTTATTCATTTCAAACAGGCCGTATCCGACCCGCGGGCCCTAGTTTGCCCACGGCTGGTCTAGAAGGAGGTGCATGGCTACCCCCTCCTGTCCCATGAACCCCTTCCCAGTGGGAAGAGTATGGCCCCCTAAACTCAGGGGCCGTGGGTGGAGGCCCCTGTCGCCCAGCTCTAAGGGTGCCATTGCTCTTAACAATCCAGGAGGTAAATATCTTTCTTTTCACCATTTACAGACAAGGCTTCTGCAGAAGTTGCATAACTTGCTCAAGGTCACAGCTCAATGCCAGAGCTGGGATTTGAGTCCCCAGTGCCTGAATATAGAGCCACTATATGGGGGGCAACCACACCAGAGACAGCGCGTCTCAAAAACAAATACACACTCGGGCTGGCTGGTGTGGCTCAGGGGTTGAGCATCCACCTATGAACCAGGAGGTCACAGTTGGATTCCTGGTCAGGGCACATGCCTGGGGTTGCTGGCTGGATCCCCAGTGTGGGGTGTGCAGGAGGTAACCGATCCATGATTCTCTCTCATCACTGATGTTTCTGTCTCCCTCTCCCTCTCCCTTCCTCTCTGAAATCAATAAAAATACTAAAAACCAAAAACCAAGCACACACACACACAAATACATACCCAGCATTTCTCATACAGCCTCAGGGGCCTCCCTGAAGCCACGGGGAGGAGGTAAGAAGGCGGTGGGCTGTAGCGGGGATCAGACAGTGAAGTGGGAGCCTGTCCCCAAGTCTGAACAGTTTCCAGAGCGAGAAGAAGGGAGAGTGGGAGGCAGCCAGGCTCTGCCTGGAGGGAGGAGGCTTAGGTGGTTGTGCGGGAGGCTCTCAGACATTAGCCTCCTCCCTCTGAACTCAGACCCCCTGGAGAAAGGTCTGCTGGTGGGCAGTCTCACCCCCGCCCTCTGACCTGGCACACCCCCAAACCCGGAGTCCAAAGCAGAGGCCAGAACCTTCCTGGTTCTGAAGGAGGGGGAGGCCTTGGAGGGGTGAGGGGCGGAGCCTGAGGGAGGCCTCCTTAGAGGGTAAACGAGGTAGGGGTGCACGGGGCAGGGGGAGGCGGGAGAGGGTGGTGGTGGAATCGGGCGGGGATCAGGACATCGCCGGAGTCCCTGACCAGGAGCCCCACATTTCAGCGGACTCTGTGAAGACATGGGGGTGCGGGGCGGGGACAGTCAGTGCGCAATGGAAGCTCCGCTCCTGGAGCCGGGCACGCGGTTCCCCTGGCCCCCAGGGCAAGCCCGCACACGCCCACCCTGCGGCCCCTCGCAGCCCGGGAGGGGAGCCGCTGCCCCACCCGCGTTCCCCACGGCGCCACACACGGCCGCCCAACTCCGCAAAGCTCCATGCTACTCCCCAAAACTCTCCTCCTAACGGGCAGCTCGGCGTAGGGAAGATGCGGCGAGTGCCCGCGACTCCGCATTGCCCGCCGCAGCCGCCCGGCCCGAGCTGGAGGGGGGCCCGCCTGCTCCCCGCGCTCCCAGACAGCGAGGGGCGCGGGGCAGGTGCGCAGCGGGCGGGCCCCCCGGGCTCCGCGGCGCCTCCTCCTGCGGCTGGAGCGCTTCCAGGGCCGGGCACAGCGACGCGGCCTCCGCGCTCGCCCGCGGTCCTCCCGCTCCTCCTCCCGGCTCCGCGCACCCCTCCTCCCCCTCGCTCTCGGCCGCCTCTCCCGCAGCCGGCTCCTCCTCCGCGCTCTCCCCGCTAACTTTCCCGGTCCTGCGGGCGCACCGCGCTCCCGGCAGGCGGGGCCACTGCAGACCGCGGGCCGCCGGCTCGCTGCGCCCTGGGTCCCATCCCCGCGCCCCTGGCGCGCTCTGCAGAGACCAGCGCCATGCCCGGGGCCGGGGGCCGCAGCGCAGCCCCGGTGAGATGGCTGGGCGCTGGGATTTTGGGTAAGGCAGCCGCCCCTCGCCCCCTTCTCCCTAGGCGGGGACACTAGGAAAAGCAGCGCCTGGGATGGGGTGTGTGCCGCGCGGAGCGAGCCCGCGGCTTCCGGCGTCCTGCCGAGCGCGCTGGGTCTGCGCCCCCCCCCCCCCCCCCCTCCGCCGCACCGCCTGGCCGCCTCGCCATGAGTTAGTTCTTTGCTGTTTTCGGCGTCTTCTTTGGAGCTGAATCTTGGGGCTGCAGTGCGGTCTCCCAGCTCCGGCTCCGAGCAGGGGGTTCGGTGTGGGAATGCCGGGTGGCTTGCACGTGTGAAGGTTGGGATGGCGGTTTCTACCCCTGCCTGGGTTGTGTGCAACTTGGACGCTTGTTCCTCAGGCCTCCCCCTCCTCCTGGCCCTTTTTCCATTTGGCTCCTCTGCCCTCTGCCTCCTCCGGGGCCCCGCCCCCTTCCCTGCAGCTCCACACTTGGCCTGGAGGGGTTGCAGGGACTTGGAGGATCCATCCAGCCCCCTTTGGGAAGGGGCTTCTCTCTTCTTACAGGGCGGTTCCACAGGGAGGCCTGTGTGACTGTCCTGCTCTCCGTTCCTGGGGGGACTGTGACCACGGAGGAGACCGCGCGGAGGACACAGAGGAGCAGAGTGAAGGTCTGTGATGTGCACATGAGTTCTGAGTGCCGGACGAGGAGAGATGCGGGAAGGGTCATTATTAGTCCAGAATGTAATTTCATGAACCAGACGGGCTCAGTGTAAGCCGACTCCGGCTCTGGCACCGCACCTCTTCTTGTTTATATTGGTCAGAGCTGGCAGCTGCCCCGCTGGCTTGGGCACATGATGTAGGCAGTTGTGCTGAGAACAGAAGCTGGAAGCCTTCAGGGGCAGTGCAGCGCCGCTTCTGCAGATGTAAGTGCTCGCGCTGTCCCGGGCCTCAGTGGGGTGGTGGAGAGGGCAGAGTGTTTACTCGGGAGCCACTGATTTAGTGACACCCGACGCCGGATGGGTGAAACCGGCGTGTCCTCTGGTACCTTCGGCACCGCTGTACGCTGGGTTCACGGACCCGATGAAACGGACCTCTGTGAGGCCGAGGTCTCTTGGGCTCCCCTCGGGGTGGCACAGTGCCACTCCACACCAGCTCCCCCTCCTCTCCTCTCTGATCAGCCCAGGTTCTCACGTGACCACAGCAGCGGGTCAGGGATTCCTGGGGAATTCAAACCCACGGCTAGGAAACTGGCCCCTTATCCACACCTCCTGCTGCTGGGTCCCTGGCTGCTCCAGTGTTCACAGACCCAGCCTTCTGTGGGAACCCAGCGCACACTGAGTGTGTGTCTGTGTGTGTGCACATGTGTGCGTGCATGTGCACACGTGCATGTGCGTGTGCATGTGCGTGTGCATGTGCCTGCGTGTGTGAGAGAGACTGTGGGCACAGCACTCTTCTCCAGGTGGCAGCCCTGCCTCCTCTGAGGACTGTGCCGCTAGGTCAGGGCAGCAGGGCCCACAGGAGCAGGTTTGGAGGGAGCCCTGAGCTACCCTCGGGGTCCAGGAGAAAGCGGAGTGATGTGTAGGTGGGCGACCAGCAGGCTCCAGAACTGGCCCCAGCCCGGCCCCAGCATCGCCCTGAGCTTGGGGCACAGATGCCATCCTTGCTCTCAGCCCCGGGGGAAGATGTGGGGACAACGGGACCCGTGCACAGAGCTCCCCTAAGGACGGGGAAGCCATGCCCCACAGGGGGCAGGGGACCTCCCGCCTCGCATGGCCGAGGGTGGTCAAGGGGACGGAAGCAGGCCTCTCTGCTCAGTCATAGTCACTTGCCTCCCAGTTAGTCCAAGCCTGCGAGGGGGAAGGTCAGCAGGGTGTGCTGATGGGTTAATGAGAAGCTCTGGCCCTGGCCGGTGTGGCTCAATGGATAGAGCTTCGGCCTGCAGACCGAAGGGTTGTGGGTTCGATTCTGGCCAAGAGCATGTACCTCGATTGCAGGCTTCTCCCTGACCTGGGCCCTGGTCAGGGCGAGTGCATGAGGCAACCAATCAATGTGTCTCTCACTTTGATGTTTCTCTCTCTTTCCCTCTCTCTTCCACTCTCTCTTCCACTCTTTCCAAAAATCAATGGAAAAATATCCTCGGGTGAGGATTTAAAAAAAAAGAATGAGGAGCTCTGGGCCCTGGGGGTGGGGGATAGAGCCTGGGGGTGGGGGATAGAGTCTGGGGGTGGGGGTGTAGACTATGGGGCCTGGGGGTGGGGGGATAGAGCCTGGGGGTGGGAGTGCAGACTATGGGGCCTGGGGGTGGGGGATAGAGCCTGGGGGTGGGGGTGCAGACTATGGGGCCTGGGGGTGGGGGATAGAGCCTGGGGGTGGGGGTGCAGACTGTGGGGCCTGGGGGTGGGGGATAGAGCCTGGGGGTGGGGGTGCAGACTATGGGGCTTGAGGATGGAGCAGAACTCTGCCCCTCCAGCCCCTCTCCCCACATCAAACTCAGCCTCCCAGACGAAGACTCAGTGACTAGGATTGTCTGACCACACGCCCTTTTCCTGACTGAGAGGTCATTCCTGAGGCTGCAGAATGGCAATCGAGGTTGTGTGGGGCCAGCCCCGTCTTAGGCACTAGGCGCGTAGCTGGTAACATCTGGCCCGCACCCCTCCTGTTCCCTGAGTTGCTTAATTGCTGGGTTTAATGATCACCCATGGGGGAAGGTGCTGGATTGCACAGCCCCTTCCCCTTGCTGTGTATTTCTTAGGGTTTGTTCCACGAGAGAGCGGATGACCAGAGGGTGCTCACCCCACTCAGCGGCGGGAAGAGGAGAGGGCAAGGAAGGAGGGTGGGAGAGGAAGGGGCAGGATGGAGCCCCAGGCTTGATTGTGGAACCAGGTTAGTTCTTTTTCTGGAGATGCAGGCCTGTGGGGCATCCCTCACCCTTATGGCTGGCCCCCTCCTGGCGGGGTCAGACTGACAGGCAGAGCCGGGCACAGAGTCACCCACTTTGCCCTGTGGCTGAGGGTAGAGGGATCTCTGTGAGCCCTGAGCTGGTCCTGCCAACACACCTCTGGGGCCTGCAAGGGGAGGGCAGGCACACTGCTTGGACTTGTTTGCAAAGCTGGTTTGTTGAGCACCCGGGATGTCTCAGGGGCTTGCTCCTACCCCAAAGCTCCAGGGGGTGGCAGGAAGCAGTCGTGTTGCCTAGGGAGAGAGAGCTGAAATCTTTCCCGGTCCCAGGGCCCAGGGGCCTTGCCTGGCCGGGCTCTGCCTCCCACAGCCCCCAGGGCCTGCACCCCAGGAGGAGTCTCATCCTGATTCCTGCCTCCCAGCTCTGGCTTCAGGCTTCTCCGACTCCCCGGGGCTGAGCGTGTCCGCTTCCCTGTGAAAGCCAGCCAGCTTCCGCCCGCCATGCCGGGCCAGCCCTTGGAGCAGAACCCAGAGTGGGCGCCACGGGGCCCCTTTCTCCCTCCGCACCGGGTGGGAGTGGCTGAGGCTTGGGCGGGCACTGGCCTTGGAGAGCTGAGGGTAGCCGTGAGATTCCTGCTCCGGTGAATGTTTGGAACTCGCATCTGCATGTACCAGATACTTTTCACCTTAAAAAACTTGGGAGTCCTGAGTCAGTCCTCAGAAGTGCGGCGCCTGGAGGAAGAGGGGGTGGGGCCCCAGGCCTCAGGGCACAGCGGGCAACGGTCCTCCGGTCCTCCGAGGGCCGACCAAGGCGAGGGCCGCTCAGTGAGCAAAGGCACAACCCGGCTCAGGACCGGATCCCACGCGTGTTCATCAGTCCCCGGCCCAGAAACAGGCCCCACCCCAACGCACCTGCTCCCCGCGAAATCCTAGAGTGAGGTCTGGGACCATGGAAGAAAGTCTTACCTCTTTACGCAGGGAAACAGCCAGACGCATGGAAGTAGCTGCCGCCAAGAGGGGTGCAGGGGGGCGTATAGAACAGTGTGCGATGCCTGGATACACCTTGACCACGTGGGTCATTAGCTGGGGGTGCCTGGTTCCACCCAGGCCTGCCCTCCCTCCTTCCAGCCCCACCCTCCTCCCTGTAGGAGCCGAGGTGGAGGGATGGAGCACGGAACCCTTCTGTGTCCTGTGATCTGGTTTGGCTTTAGCCCCAGGTGGGGAGGCAGGGGAGAGCCCGCCCTGGCCTGGGGCTGTGCACACCAATGTGGCAGCTCGGACTTCCTCAAGGTCAGCGGGCAGCATGGGGCCTGCCTGGCGCCTGACCTGTCCTCTCCTGGCTGGGTCATTTCCCCCACCCCTGCTGAGCACTGGGGGGGGGGGGGGCGAGGAAGGGGGTGTGTGTAGGGGGGAGGGCGGGTCTCCCTGCTCCCTCCTCCTCCAGCACAGCCTCCCAGGTGACCCAGACCAGGCTGGACATCCCTGTGCCCAGGCCCCCAGGCAGAAGTTCCCAGGCTGAGAGGGGTGCGGGGGATGCTGGGGAGATGAAGGCCAGGCTGCTTGGCCCACCTCTCGGGCGCCTTAATATGGGCGGGCTCTGGGCTTGGGAACCCCCGTCTCTGGCTGTCCTGTGTCCCTTCCAGGCCCAGCGGGAGTGGCAGTGCCTCACTCTGGGCATCTGGGAGCTCAGTGTGAGCCAGGCCATCCCCACAGGCGCCCTCTAACCGGGTGGAGATGTGCACCGCCGTGAGCCAGGCCTCAAGGCAGCAGTTTCCTCCACGTTCTGGACTCTTCTTTCTCTGCTTCCGTCTGTGTGAGGCAGCCCACTCTCCTGTGCTCCTGGGTGTGCCGTTCTGGCTGGGCCAGGGCGGGGGTCTGGCCCCTACGTGGGTTCCCCCTTGTCCCCAGGAGCACAGTCCCCAGGCAGGGGTGCCAGTGAGCTTGGGAGCCGGCGCTGCTGCTCCTGGGAGCAAGGCCTGGGATCCTGTGGGAAGCCCGCGGGAGGCGGCCTCCCCGGACAGGACAGCGTCCCTGCCAGCTCCACACTCTGTGGGGCGGGGGAGGGGGGAAGCCGGCTGGGGTCTCTGACCAGAGGCTGTCTCCTAAGCTGGAGGGTGGAACGTCATTTTGGGCTCCTGTTCCTATACCTCTGGGGTGCTGGGTGAGAGGTGGGGTGTGGGGTGCGGTGCGGGGTGTGGGGGTGGGGTGTTGAGTGCAGGATGAGGGATACAGGGTACAGGGTGGGGTGCAGGGTGGAGTGCGGAGTGGGGTGTTGGATGGAGTACTGGGTGTGGGGTGGGGTGCTGGTGCAGGGTGGGGTGCGGGGTGGGGTGCGGGGTACAGGATACAGGGTGCGGGGTGGGGTGTGGGGTGTGGGTGGGATGCTGGGTGCAGGGTACGGGATACAGGGTGCAGGGTGGGGTGCTGGGTGCGGGGTGGGGTGCGGGGTACAGGATACAGGGTGCGGGGTGCAGGGTGGGGTGTAGGGTGGAGTGTGGAGTGGGGTGTCGGATGGAGTACTGGGTGTGGGGTGGGGTGCTGGGTACAGGGTGGGGTGCGGGGTGGGGTGCGGGGTACAGGATACAGGGTGCAGGGTGCGGGGTGGGGTGTGGGGTGTGGGTGGGATGCTGGGTGCAGGGTACAGGATACAGGGTGCAGGGTGCAGGGTGGGGTGCAGGGTGGGGTGCAGGGTGGAGTGCGGAGTGGGGTGTGGGGTGTGGGTGGGATGCTGGGTGCAGGGTACGGGATACAGGGTGCAGGGTGGGGTGCTGGGTGCGGGGTGGGGTGTGGGGTACAGGATACAGGGTGCAGGGTGGGGTGCAGGGTGGAGTGCGGAGTGGGGTGTCGGATGGAGTACTGGGTGTGGGGTGGGGTGCTGGGTGCAGGGTGGGGTGCGGGGTGGGGTGCGGGGTACAGGATACAGGGTGCAGGGTGCGGGGTGGGGTGTAGGGTGTGGGGTGTGGGTGGGATGCTGGGTGCAGGGTACGGGATACAGGGTGCAGGGTGGGGTGCAGGGTGGAGTGCGGAGTGGGGTGTCGGATGGAGTACTGGGTGTGGGGTGGGGTGCTGGGTGCGGGGTGGGGTGCGGGGTACAGGATACAGGGTGCAGGGTGCGGGGTGGGTGCGGGGTGTGGGGGCAGAGGTTGAAAGAAGCCAGCAGCACTATTCGGACAGCGTCATGCTCCCGGAGAGGTGCCCGCTGAGAGGGGGAGCAGCAGACCTGCGCCTGCACCCCGCTCACCCCACGCGGGGGCGGGAGGGAGCCTTGCCATCTCCGAGCCGGTGCCTCATGCCTCATTTTGTCCGTTGGGGCTAAAAACAGCCCTGCCCTCCCGGGTCCATGTGAGGGGAGTGAGGCGCTGTCCCGTGGTGGAGGCGCAGGCTCCCCGTTTCCTGTGGGCCCCGCAGCTTAAGCGCCGGTCAGTGCGAACAGGACCCCGCGCTGCGGCTTTGTAAGGACAGTGGGGCTCGTACAGCATCTCAGCGCGTGGCTCTCAGAGTCCCCTGGGCCCCGCAGTCCCCGGACCTGAGCAACGCAGCTCGCCAGGCCCCGGCCTCAGCTCCAGAACCAGGACCCGCAGACGCCGGGCCACGCGTCACTGTCCTCGGGGACTCAGGCGAGGGGTCACTGCAATAACCTCTCGGGCCCTGGCCGGTGTGGCTCAGTGGACTGAGCGTCGGCCTGCGGACCAGAGGGTCCCGGTTCGATTCTGGTCAAGGGCATGTACCTCGGTTGCAGCCTCCTCCCTGGCCCTGGCCCTGGTCGGGCTTGTGCAGGAGGCAACCAATCGATGTGATTCTCTCAGATCCATGTTTCTCTCTGCCTCTCCCTCTCCCTTCCACTCTCCCTAAAAGTCAATGGGAAACTATCCTTGGGTGAGGATTAACCAAAAAAAAAAGCAAAACACACACACAAAACACCTCTCAGACTCACTGGGACCCTGGTGGGCAGAGCCTGCACTTCTAAAATGTAAGGGCGGGGGGGGGGGGGGGCGGGGGAAATGGACCGTAAGCGAGTCATCTCACCGCCCTGTGAGCGGTGACAGGCGGCGCTCATCACGCGGGGAGCAGGCGGGCGGCACATGGTGAGTGCTCAGCGCGTCCGGCAGCAGGTCCTCGGGTCAGGCCAGTTCCGTCAGGGGGTTGGAGATGACGCTAACGAGATGCGTGGGAACGGCCTCCTGTGTCCATCGCTGACCAGTGTAAATGGGTTTGTTCCGCTCGTTTCACTTGGAGTCTCAGAGCCGGACGTAAAGCGAGGACTCGCTGAGTCAGGCTGGTAGCAGCCCAGGCCCTGGTGCTGTCTGTGAGCTTGAGGGAGAGCCCTCTGGCTTCAGAAACCGTGATGCCGCGAAGCCGAGGGGGCCGGGAGCGGCCACTGGGCTGCCAGCTGTCCTCGGAGCGACACCCTGGTCACTTCCTGTCCCTGTTGCTCAGACGCACGAGGTGTCATTCCGCCTGTGGGCACCTCGGGAGGAAACTGGTCTGCGCCTCGCTGCGCGGGAGGGAGTCGGATTGAAAAGGCCCCGCCTGAGCGGATTGGGGGGAAGAGAAGGCCAGCGACACACATTTACTTATTTATTTATGCATGGCAAGGATTTTACATTTTATTGCACTTAAAAAAATTTTTTTTTGGCTAATCCTCACCTGAGGATATTTTCCCATTGATTTTTAGAGAGAGTGGAAGAGAGAGGGAAAGACAGAGAAACATCAATGTGAGAGACACATTGATTGGTTGCCTCCTGCACAAGCCCCGACCAGGGCCCGGGCCGGGGAGGAGCCTGCAACCGAGGTACGTACCCTTGACCAGAATGGATCCCGGGAGCCTTCAGTCCACAGGCCTAGCTCTATCCACTGAGAAAACTGGCCAGGGCTATTGTACTTTTCCCATGACCATTAAATACTGCTGGGCTCTATGGCCAGCGTTTGGGGTTGCAGGACCTGTAAGGGTGAGGTTATGCAGTCATTTAGGGGTGGGCTGCCCAAGGGAAGCAGAGACTGAGGGCCTTGTTGCAAAAAAGAAAAAGCTGTTCAGGCAGAACAGAGGTCCTCGCTTGCACCGGCAGTGTGTCCTGGACCAGCTTTGACCAGGAGAAATAGCAACCAGGCTGGTTAGCTCTGGCTCGTGACGACCGACGGTGGGTCCTGGCGGCGGCTGCAGCTCACGTTCACAATCGGGCGAAAAGGGGACATAGAGCCCAGCAGGTGGTTGTTTCACATCCAAACCACCTCCCGGGGCTTTCCTCAAACCACGGGACAAAGCACGGCCAGCGGCCTTTAAAACGCAGGCCGACCCCGCGGCTGGGGGACAAGCCGGGTCAGGGTGCGCCTGCAGGGCCGGGAGCCGGCCTGGGCGGAGAGGGGGCTGGGGGACAAGCCAGGTTGGGCTGTGCCTGCAGGGCCAGGAGCCGGCCTGGGCGGAGAGGGTCTCCATCGGCCCAGCCGGAACCGGGTCGGCTCAGCCAAGTCTCCTCCGTCTGGGGCCGTGGTGGTTCCGTCTCTACAGTGAAGCGGTGGGGTTAGCGGGTCCGTCCTGGTCCTTTAGCTTTGACATTCGTGGCGACGCCAGGCTGGAGGTCCGAGTGGTTGAGGGGAGCAGCGTCTGGGAGGGCGAGCCGGGGAGACGAGACAGGCGGCTGCGCTCAGCTGCCCACGAGACCCGAGTCTGACCCCTGGAGGTCGCGAGGCTCTGGGCAGGCCCGTGGCTCCTCTGAGCCTCACTTTCCCCCCTGTGACATGTGCTTGTAACACCAACTCAGGGAGGAGGTGAGAATGACACGCGTGCTCACGTGCATGTGCACTGAGCGAGGATTGGGCCCAGGTCAGAGAGGTGCTCTCGGGGTCACTGGGAGCCTGGGGAGGCCCCCTCTGAGTCCGCACCCTCCTGACTCCAAGGACCATCTAATCTGGGGGCAAGAATAGGTGGCATCCAATGCCAACCCCCTTCCCCCACCTCGATGCACAGTGGGGTTTTCTCAAGGACTTTGCAGGGTAGCAGGAGGGCCGGTCCTCTGGTCCCCGAGGCCGGGGTGGTATGGATTCGCTGGTTAGTGGGTGTGGAGGTGGGGGGTGGAGGGGACAGAGCGGGGCTGTGGGGCTGGGGGCGGGATGGGCTACTCAGGAGAGGACAGCGCCGCTTCGCACCATCCCTCTTGCGTGATCCCGATGGTCTGATTATCAGGATTCTGCCTGCCCAGCGCTGTGCCCTGACTCTCCCTGATCTGCTCGCTGCTGTGGCCGCTCTGCCAGCTGCTGTCCGGCCCGGGGACCACCGTTCCCATGCCCACCGCGCTCCATCCTGGCCCTGGGGGGCTCCGGGCTCGGGTGGAACAGGGTTCAGGCTCAGCACTGAGCACGAGCCTCATTTTCTTGGGTGGGGTGACCCCTAGTGGTCACTCGGAATGCCACCAGGGCTTAAGTGGTCCTGCCTTCAATCCTGCCCAGCAAGGGGGTCCGAAGGAGAAGGAAGGCTGGTGGCCCAGGCAGTGTCCGTGGAAGTCAAGAGAACCATCTTCCTGCAGTTCCCGCCGAGGGTGACTGCACCCTGCCTGGCCGAGCCACCCCCTTCCCGGCCCCTCCTGAGCTCCAGCCTGGAGGCCTCAGAAGGCTTCGATTTGTTTATTTTTATATATAGTTTATGGACTGGAGAGGGAGAGAGAGAAACACGAGTGATGATAGGAAATCACTGATCGGCTGCCTCCTGCACGCCCCACACTGGGGATCGAACCCTGACCTCCTGGCTCATAGGTCAGTGCTCATCCACTGAGCCAGGCAGGCCCAGCCCGGGGGCTTTGGTTAAGGGAGTGGTGCCGCACAGGTCTCTTCCTGCTGCCCGCGGCCCTGGCGCTGGAGGTGTCGGTGGGGAAGGCCGCCACCATCTACGCTGTCAACGGCACGGAGGTCCTGCTGCCCTGCACCTTCTCCAGCTGCTTCGGCTTCCACAACCTGGCCTTCTCCTGGTCCTACAACAGCAGTGACGCCTTCCGGGTGGTAAGTACCAAGGGGGGGCGGGCAGACCCCCTCCCGCCCTGTTGCTCAGCCTGGCCTCCATCCCAGACTCGGCCCTGGAGACTGGCCCCTGGTGAGGGACCCCATCCTTTGCTTCTCCTGGTGCTCTTTGTAGAGCCGACCCAGGAAGAGCCCCCCAGGGGAGGGATGCTGGGATCATGCCGCCAGGGGGCTGGGATTGGGGGCTGCTGGGATTCTTGGAATCTTCTGTGTGGTCGGAAGGAGTACCTGACACTGGAACTGCGTGTGCAAAAAGGAATAGTTTAATTTCTAAAGCAGGAGCGAGGAAGGCGTGGGGAGGGAATGAGGAGAGTCCAAACAGGAGAAGGGACTTGGAGAGCAGGGGGAGGGAGCCGAGAAGACAGGGAGACCTATAGGAGCACCCCAGGGCCGGGGCGGTGGGGGGGGGGGGGGTCAGCCACAGGGGTTACTGAGGCCTCTCCTGCGATCTCGAAGGGGACCAGAAAGACCACCAGGGAAGCCACGGATGGCCGCCTCCACATAATGACATGCTGAGCACGGACCGTGGGGTTGGGGGCCACCGTTCCGAGGGACAGAGGGCGGTGCCCGCCAACCTGGGGGGCGGCAGAGGGGAGCGAGGGGGGCGTTCGCGGGCGTTGTGCTACATCCCAGGGAGACGCACGGCTTTCCGCCGAAGCAGCCACATCCGGCTCGCCCGGCAGAGCTGCGGGCACAGGCGGGAGGGAGCATTCTGGCCGCAGGCTGCTCCTGCGAGCGGGACTCGGAGGCTGGAGCGGTGCCGGGACTGATGCTTCTCGTCACCGTCTCTTCCCACCGCCTCGCAGCTCCTAAGCGGGACCGTGAAGAACGAGAAGTCGGACCCCAGGCTGCACCTGAGGAACGACGACCGCATCACGCTGGAGGGCTCCACCAAGGAGAAGATGAACAACCTGTCCATCCTGCTGCGGGACCTGGACTTCGGCGACACCGGCCGCTACACCTGCCACGTGCGGAACCCCAAGGAGAAGGACCTGCAGCACCAGGCCACCATCTTCCTCCAAGTGGTGGATAAGCGTACGCGGGGGCGGGCGGGGCGGGGCGGGGCGGGGTGGGGGACGGGGTGCGGGGCGGTGCGGGGCGGGGTAGGGGACGGGGTGCGGGGCGGGGCGGGGTGGGGGACGGGGTGCGGGGCGGTGCGGGGCGGGGTAGGGGACGGGGTGCGGGGCGGGGCGGGGTGGGGTGCGGGCGGTGCGGAGCGGTGCGGGGCGGTGCGGGGCGGTGCGGGGAGGGGCGGGGCGGGGCGAGGGACGGGGTGCGGGGCGGGGCGGGGAGGTGCGGGGCGGTGCGGGGCGGGGGGGGGTAGGGGACGGGGTGCGGGGCGGGGCGGGGCGGTGGGGGGCGGTGCGGGGCTGGGCGGTGCGGGGCGGTGCGGGGACGGGGTGCGGGGCGGGGCGGGGTGGGGTGCGGGGCGGTGCGGAGCGGTGCGGGGCGGTGCGGGGCGGTGCGGGGAGGGGCGGGGCGGGGCGAGGGACGGGGTGCGGGGCGGGGCGGGGAGGTGCGGGGCGGTGCGGGGCGGGGGGGGGGTAGGGGACGGGGTGCGGGGCGGGGCGGGGCGGTGGGGGGCGGTGCGGGGCTGGGCGGTGCGGGGCGGTGCGGGGACGGGGTGCGGGGCGGGGCGGGGAGGGGCGGGGCGGGGGGGGGATGGGGTGCCCTCACAGCGTTCCGGTGAAGTGGGAACCTGGGCCACGTGTGGTCTGAGCCTGGAGTCAGTGCTCGGAGGCAGGTCTGCCCCCCTCTTGCTCTCTGGAGGCCACCCTCTGGGGGCTCAGCCTGTCCCTAGGGAGAGGGGAAGGGCACCCAGTCTGCGGCTCGGCTGAGTGCCAGGCGCCGGGCCAGGCGCCCTCCCGTGGCTCCTCTGCCTCCCACGCTTCTTCAAGCCCAGGGTCCCTGCCTGCGACAGGCTCAGGCACCCACCTGCAGCGCATGCGCATTGAGCCCCTGCCTGTGGCAGGCATTGCTCTGAGCGAGGCGGGAGCAGGCACAGGATGGACACATTCTTTCCTTATTTTTATACGTATTTGTTTATTATTATTTTTTAAATATATTCTTATTGATTTCAGAGAGGAAGGGAGAGGGAGAGGGAGATAGAAACATCAATGATGAGAGAGAATCATTGACTGGCTGCCTCCTGCACACCCCCTACTGGGATCGAGCCTGCAACCTGGGCATGGGCCCTGACCGGAACCGAACCTGGGACCCTTCAGTCCACAGTCCAACGCTCTATCCACTGAGCAACACTGGCCAGGGCAAGGCAGACAAATTCTTGCCCATATGGAGAGTACCTTCTATGGGAGGAGACATCTAGAAAACAGAATAGAGAGGAACATTCTGTTGTATCAGAGAACAGGGTCAGTGTTATGGAGAGAAAAGACCATGGGCAGGGAGGCAGGTGGTGCTGGCAGGGTCGCTCGGCGAGGCCTCGCTGGCGCTGGCGAGGGCGGCAGAGGGCGAGGGCATCAGGAGGAGGGAGGAGGCTGTGAGGAGGCCTTTGGGAGGACAGTCCCAGCATTGGGTGGAGTGAGGACGAGTCAGATTAGGCCAGACTCCGGGGGCCGTGTGAGGGTGGGGAGCGGCTTCTCTCTGCGGGATCCGAGCAGGAGACTTAGTGCTGGAGCAGGTCCCTCTGCTGCTGGGCCCAGAGCAGATGGTGGCCGGTCAGGGGCTGCGACCGACACCCTCGCCGGATGTCCAGACGGCCGTGGTGGCCAGAGGTCGGCTTCCGGAATTGTCTTGGAGTTAGGGCATCGGGATTCTCAGGGGGCGTGGAGACGGCGTGAGGAGCAGAGGGGTTGAGGACGCACAAGGATTCTGGTCGGAGCAGCTGGAGAGATGGGAGCGGCTGTGGGTGGGGCAGGTGATGAAGCCAGGAGGCCACTCTCCAGAGGAGAGACAGGCGAGGGCTCCATGACCGGCTCAGGGCCACCAGCCGGAGTGACCCCGAGACCTGCAGTTGGAAGCCGGGGACTCCCCAGTTCTCCCGCCACGGGAGACACGGGGAATCTTAACGTTCTCTGCTCAGGGAACAGCCCAGAGAGAGGCCACGCTTCTCACGTGGGCTCGGGGGTCTGAGTCTGAATTCTTCAGAACCTGGGCCTGTGGGAGGACGCGTGTGGGGAGGGGAGAGGACCTGGGGCTCCTTTGGGTGGCCCCTATGTCCCAGCTTCTCTGCTCCATCCCTAAAGCGTGGCCCGGGGGGGGGGAGGGTAGGAGCACAGGTGGACATCCCAGATACAGGGGTCGGAGGCAGTGTCGGCCTTGGACGGCCACCGTGCTCGGCTCCAGGTGACCCCGCGCCCTGTCTGTCCCCCCGCCCCCGCCAGTGGAGGAAGTGGACAACACGCTGACACTCATCATCCTGTCGGTGGTGGGCGGCGTCGTTGGGCTCGTGGTCCTCATCCTGCTGATCAAGAAGCTAGTCACCTTCATCCTCAAGAAGACCCAGGAAAAGAAGTAAGTGGCTCCATTGCCGCCTGTCCCTCCACCACGCGCCCATGGGTGCCCCAGTATCCTCCGGGGCCACTGTCCTCCCCTGTCCATCGCCCTCCTTCCATCCACCCTCCTCCTTCCATCGCCCTCCTCCTTCCATCCGCCCTTCTCCTTCCATCGCCCTCCTCCTTCCATCCACCCTCCTCCTTCCATCGCCCTCCTCCTTCCATCCGCCCTCCTCCTTCCATCACCCTCCCGCTTCCATCCACCCTCCTCCTTCCATCGCCCTCCTCCTTCCATCCACCCTTCTCCTTCCATCGCCCTTCCCCTTCCATTGCCCTCCCCCTTCCATCGCCCTTCCCCTTTCATCCGCCCTCCTCCTTCCATTGCCCTCCCCCTTCCATCCACCCTTCTCCTTCCATCGCCCTTCCCCTTCCATTGCCCTCCTCCTTCCATTGCCCTCCCCCTTCCATCCGCCCTCCTCCTTCCATTGCCCTCCCCCTTCCATCCGCCCTCCTCCTTCCATCGCCCTCCTCCTTCCATCTGCCCATCCCATGCTGCCTTCCTAGCCCCACCAGGCGCTCCCCGCTCCTGCACTAACTGTTACCTCTTCCCTGCTGCCAGGAGGTTTCTGTGGTGGCTGCTCAGTTCCCCGAGGGCAGGAGTGCAGCCTTGGGCTCCTCACCCCACTGTCTTCTGCTCACCCTGTTAGCCTCCCTCTTTCTACTCGTGTCACCCTAACCAAAGGCTCTAGTCAAGGGTTTAGGAGTCCCTCCCTTTCCAAGTCGGAGAAAAGGTAAGAGTCCATGTGCAGAAGCCGCAGGAGGGAGACCTTCTAGGGAGATGGGAGTGTTCCTGGGAGATTCTGAAAATCCCCTGGGAGACAAAGAAACCCACAGGGGCAGGTGCTGCCCCCTGGAAGCCCATAGGGAAGGGAGATGTCTTCCCCCCTGTTTCTCCCCCAGGGCCTCCTGCCACCCCCCAGGCCAGAGCCTCCTGCTCCTTCCACTGCTGGGGGCAGGGAGCAGGGGCTGCTGGGTCCCCTCGGCACACCGCCCGCCCGGTGGGCGCAGCCCGGGAGGCCCTGGTTAGAGTCCCTCAGCACTGCACCTGGGGGTGGGGCCTGACAGCTGCCTCCTGCCATGTTGAGGCGCCTGGTGAGGGCCTTCCCCGGGCAGGCGTTCGCCAGCTCTTCCTGCCGCCACAGAGAAGGGGCGCTGGTCCATCCACAGACCACAGGCAGGCACAGGGACGGGGGGCTTGGCCTCTGGCTTCATTAGCTCTTTGAAAGGCCAGTGAGAGGGCTGGGCATAGGGCCCACAGCCTCCCATCACTGCTCCCTCCCCATCACTGCTCCCTCCCCATCACTGCTCCCTCCCCCATCACTGTTCCCTCCCCCATCACTGCTCCCTCCCCATCACTGCTCCCTCCCCTGCTCCCCTCACAGTGCCCTCCCCCCTCACTGTCCCCCCCCCCCCCCCACAGGAAGGAATGCCTTGTGAGCTCCTCAGGGAATGACAACACGGAGAACGGGCTGCAGGGCTCCAAGGCCGAAGAGAAGGCACCCAGCAAGGCATGAGCCTGGGGGCCACAGCCCAGGGCGCCCTGTGAGGGGGACTCGCAGGCCTGTGGGCCGCCTGCCTGACGCTGCTGCTTGGCTCAAACTCTCGTTTTCCTGTGGGAGCGGGTCCTGTCCGGCCTGCCACCCGGAGAAGGGGTGGGGTGCGGTGGGAGGGTCCGGTGGGGGCCAGGCCTCACCCCTGGGCAGGTGGCGCTCCTCTTCCCGGTGGCAGAGGATGTGGCCCCAGGCTTCTCCTGGAGCCGGCGCCCTGGGAGCACGAACCCTTCTGGGGCACATTGGCCTCAGGGACCCTGGCAGGGTGTGGGGTGGGGCTGGAGGGGGCAGGGAGAGGCTCTGATGGGTTCCCCACCCCCTGCCCCCGTCCACCACCCCTGCCAGCCCTTCCCGGGGCACAGGGGGCCCATCCTGCTTGGGCGCCGCCCCCTCTGCTGTGGGTGCTTCGGTGCCCTCACACCTGCTCCCCTGACTCAGGGTTGTGTGTGGGCACCCCCGCCCCCCCCCCCCCCCCCCCCCCCGCCAGCCTCCGCCTCAGGTCCCCTTCCTTCGGTGAGAGCGCCCGCCTCCACTGCCCTGGGTTCTGGCTGCTTCCTGATCAGCTGGGCCTCGCCCGCAGGTCCCGGTGGGGAGGAGGGAGGGTGCCAGTTTTCCTTTGCTTTTCCAGAACTGCTGACCGGTGCGTGGGGCTAGAGGCTAGACTGTGCCTTAGCTCCAGGTCCAGCTCCCCCTCCCCCTCATGCCACCCGTCTCCTGTGGCACTGCTGACGGCTCCCCGTGACCCCCCCCCCCCAGGCCGGGGCAGGGTGGGGGCGTGTCACTGTGGCCCCGTGGGCAATGGCTGAGTCACAGAGACGGCCCCCAGGCTCCCGGGGGCCCCTGGCTAGGATGTGGAGGTGCGGGAGTGGCCCCAGGTGCTGTCCCCGGGTGGGGGCAGAAGTCAGGTGGCAGGAGGTGGCATTCGGAGGTCATGTCTGCCCCCTCTGCCCGGCTCTCAGAAGCCCTGAGGCAGGCTCCTGGGCCCTGGGGGGGAAGGGAGGCAGGAGCCTCTTCTCCAAAGGCGGCAGCAGCTTCCTCAGGGTGGAGACAGGGCAGGAGGGGGTCGGGGAGGAAACTGGGGGGCAGCGGCACTATGGGCTGTCCCTGGCCCTGCCCCCCCATGAGCTCAGGGTCCCCGCCAGCTGCCGCTGTCCCTTCTGTCCTTCTGCTCCCATAACCCATCCCCGGTTCCTGGCATTGGGAGCAGACAGAGCAGAGCCACCAGGCACCGGGGAAACTATACTGCCTTCCTGCAGCCGCTCTGCCAGCGCCCCTGGCCGGAGGGCCAGCCCCCCCTGAGGACAGGCTGCCGTCCAGGCCCAGGCCCTGGACGGGAGAGGGTGCCCCTCGCTGCCACTGCTGCTAATGCACACCCGGCCAGCACGTCTCTGACTCAGCTTCCCCATCTACCCAATGGGCGGCCTGATGCCTACCTACCTCACTTGACTATTGTGAGGCTTGGCGAATTGTGTTTAAAAGACCTTTGGGCTTGGAAAGTGACCGAGGAGGCCAGCGTTATAACTGGTGGGATGTTCAAGGTTGTCCTGTCCCCCTCTCTGTGTCCCTTCCCTAGAACACACATGCTCCCTCCTCCCTACAACATACACCTCCGTCCTCCCATAACACACATCCTCCCTCCTCCCTACAACACACATCCTCCCTCCTCCCATAACACACATCCTCCCTCCTCCCATAACACACATCCTCCTCCACTTCCCCCTCCCCACTTTCCCCTCTCTCCCTCCCTCCTTATCTCCCTCTCTCTCCTGGCCTCCTGCCTTCCCAGTCTCCCCTGGGGACTATTTCAGTGTTTGTTGTCAGGAACCTGGGCCCTGATGCTTGAGGCTCCTGTAATGACACTTGGTGGGTGGCTTTCAGCGGAGGCAGGGGGACTGTCAGGGACTCCTGGTGGCCTGAGGCCCGGGGTTACCTGCTGGCACCTGTAAGTGGGCGGAGGAGGTTAGATTAGTCCCCACACCAAAGAATGGTCCCGCCTGACGCCGGGATCACACCCCTGGGAAAAACTGGCATGTCCTGAGGTGAAGCACAGCCGTCTCCCCGCAGACCACCTGGAGTGCCTGCCGCCAATACCAGGGAGGAGGGAGTGTCAGGGTCTGTGGCCCCACAGGGCCATCTGCACAATGTCCTGGGGGCCCAGGCGCTGCGGCTGGGGGGCAGTAAGGTGCGTGCAAGCAGAGACAGGTCTTTCCCAGCTCCCCTTCCTGGCCGTGACCTCGGGCTCCGCACCCCAGGCCTGGGGCTCCTCGGGCAGGAACTGAGCAGAAGGCGGCCAGAATGGACCCGGGCTGCTAGCGGGGCCTGGGATGCCGGTGGAGGTGGCGGAAGCCATGTTCCCAAGGTGGCAGGGGCAGGTGGGAATTCATGACTGTGGGCGGTGGCTGTGAGAGAGAGGGTGCTGGAGGGGGGCAAAGGCTGGGGTGCCTGAGGTGGGCAGCCTGCATCGCAGGAGCTCTGGTCTGGTTCAGTGTGACCTGGGGGGCACCCAGAGGCTGAGAAAGGATAGGAAACCAGGGGGCAGGGAGTGGGGGGAGACCAGCCACACCCCTGTGCTCCGTGACTCAATGTCTGCACCTCACTGGCACCCCAGCTGCCATCGGAGCGCTGGGGTGGACACCCGCACCCCTGGGAGAAATGAAACTGTCCACCCTCCCAGGCCGGAGCCGCTCCCCTCTCTCCCGCTCCCACCCCCGCCCGGGTCTGCAGTGCTTCTGACTCATGCACGGTCTCCCTGGCTGGGGCGACAGCAACACCCACAGCCAGCTCCCTGGACGGCCCAGGTCCCGGTGAGCAGCAGAGCTGGAGCCCGGACCGGCTGCGGGAGGCCGGCTGTGAGCACCTTCAGCGCTGGCTCAGGTCCAGCCCGGGGTGGCCAGGCTGTCTCGCCTTTACAACCTGACTGCATTGCAGGGCTTTATTTCGCTTTGCCTTGGAAGAAATAAATGTTATGTTGAACAACGTGGTGTGTGGTCCTCATTGTTGGCTAATTGGGCACTGGGTTCCAGTCTTGTCACCTGCAGCTTGTCACCAGCCTCGGTCGAGTTGTGTCTAAAATGTTACCCACTTGGACAGCGTGGCTCAGTAGTTGAGTGTCGACCTATGAACCAGGAGGTCATGGTTTCCCGGTAGGGCACATGCCCAGATTATGGGCTCGATCCCCAGTGTGGGGCATGTAAGAGGCAGCCAATCAATGATTCTCTCTCATCATTGACGTCTCTCTTCCTCTCCCTTCCTCTCTGAGATCAATAAAAACATCTTAAAAACAACACCACTGTGCTGAGCATGAAAATGAAGCTCCTGGCCTGGGGAGTACATGCCTGGCTGAGGGTGTATCATGGGATCCACACCAGAGCGGCGCTGCCACCTTCCTGCAGAGGCTGGCGAGGGGGGAGTGACACTGACCACCTTCAGGCCTCCCTGGGCTGGGGTGGCGCCATGATTCTGGTGCCACTAAATGCCATCCACCCTCCTCCCTCCTCCCATAACACACATCCTCCCTCCTCCTATAACACACATCCTCCCTCCTCCCATAACACACATCCTCCTTCCTTCCATAACACACATCCTCCCTCCTCCCATAACACACATCCTCCCTCCTCCCATAACACACACATCCTCCCTCCTCCCATAACACACTATCCTCCCTCCTCCCATAAAACACATCCTCCCTCCTCCCATAACACACTATCCTCCCTCCTCCCATAACACACTATCCTACCTCCTCCCATAACACACATCCTCCCTCCTCCCATAACACACACATCCTCCCTCCTCCCATACAAGACATCCTCCCTCCTCCCTATAACACACATCCTCCCTCCTCCCATAAGAGACACATCCTCCCTCCTCCCGTAACACACATCCTACCTCCTCCCATAACACACATCCTCCCTCCTCCCATAACACACACATCTTCCCTCCTCCCATAACACACACATCCTCCCTCCTCCCATAACACACACATCCTCCCTCCTCCCATAACACAATCCTCCCTCCTCCCATAACACACATCCTCCCTCCTCCCATAACACACATCCTCCCTCCTCCCATAACACACATCCTCCTTCCTCCCATAACACACTATCCTCCCTCCTCCCATAACACACATCCTCCCTCCTCCCATAACACACATCCTCCTTCCTCCCATAACACACATCCTCCCTCCTCCCATAACACACATCCTCCCTCCTCCCATAACACACATCCTCCCTCCTCCCATAACACACATCCTCCCTCCTCCCATAACACACATCCTCCCTCCTCCCATAACACACATCCTCCCTCCTCCCATAACACACATCCTCCTTCCTCCCATAACACACTATCCTCCCTCCTCCCATAACACACATCCTCCCTCCTCCCATAACACACATCCTCCTTCCTCCATAACACACTATCCTCCCTCCTCCCATAACACACATCCTCCCTCCTCCCATAACACACATCCTCCTTCCTCCCATAACACACATCCTCCCTCCTCCCATAACACACTATCCTCCCTCCTCCCATAACACACATCCTCCTCCTCCCATAACACACATCCTCCTTCCTCCCATAACACACTATCCTCCCTCCTCCCATAACACACATCCTCCCTCCTCCCATAACACACATCCTCCTTCCTTCCATAACACACATCCTCCCTCCTCCCATAACACACATCCTCCCTCCTCCCATAACACACACATCCTCCCTCCTCCCATAACACACTATCCTCCCTCCTCCCATAACACACATCCTCCCTCCTCCCATAACACACTATCCTCCCTCCTCCCATAACACACTATCCTCCCTCCTCCATAACACACATCCTCCCTCCTCCCATAACACACACATCCTCCCTCCTCCCATAACACACTATCCTCCCTCCTCCCATAACACACATCCTCCTCTCCCATAACACACACATCCTCCCTCCTCCCATAACACACTATCCTACCTCCTCCCATAACACACATCCTCCCTCCTCCCATAACACACACATCCTCCCTCCTCCCATAACACACTATCCTCCCTCCTCCCATAACACACATCCTCCTTCCTTCCATAACACACATCCTCCCTCCTCCCATAACACACATCCTCCCTCCTCCCATAACACACACATCCTCCCTCCTCCCATAACACACTATCCTCCCTCCTCCCATAACACACATCCTCCCTCCTCCCATAACACACTATCCTCCCTCCTCCCATAACACACTATCCTACCTCCTCCCATAACACACATCCTCCTCCTCCCATAACACACATCCTCCCTCCTCCCATAACACACTATCCTCCCTCCTCCCATAAACACACACATCCGCTCCTCCCATAACACACTATCCTCCCTCCTCCCATAACACACTATCCTCCTCCTCCCATAACACACATCCTCCCTCCTCCCATAACACACATCCTCCCTCCTCCCATAACACACTATCCTCCCTCCTCCCATAACCCACATCCTCCCTCCTCCCATAACACACATCCTCCCTCCTCCCATAACACACATCCTCCCTCCTCCCATAACACACATCCTCCCTCCTCCCATAACACACTATCCTCCCTCCTCCCATAACACACATCCTCCCTCCTCCCATAACACACCATCCTCCCTCCTCCCATAACACACATCCTCCCCCTCCCATAACACACATATCCTCCCTCCTCCCATAACACACACACCTCCCCTCCTCCCATAACACACTATCCTCCCTCCTCCCATAACACCACATCCTCCCTCCTCCCATAACACACACATCATCCCTCCTCCCATAACACACATCCTCCCTCCTCCATAACACACATCCTCCCTCCTCCCATAACACACACATCCTCCCTCCTCCCATAACACACTATCCTCCCTCCTCCCATAACACACATACACATCCTCAAGCCTCCCTCCTCCCATAACACACATCCTCCCTCCTCCATAACACATCACATCCTCCCTCCTCCCTAACACACTACCTCCCTCCTCCCATAACACACTATCCTACCTCCTCCCATAACACACTATCCTCCCTCCTCCCATAACCCACACTATCCTACCTCTCCCATAACACCACATCCTCCCCCTCCCAAAACACACACATCCTCCCTCCTCCCATAACAACACACATACATCGCCCTCCTCCATAACACACAATCCTCCCTCCTCCCATAACAAAATATCCTACCTCCTCCCATAACACACTATCCTACCTCCTCACATAACACACAATCCTCCCTCCTCCCATAACATACACTATCCTCCCTCCACCCCATAACACACTATCCTCCCTCCTCCCATAACACACTATCCTCCCTCCTCCCATAACACACATCCTCCTTCCTCCCATAACACACATCCCCCCTCCTCCCATAACACACTATCCTCCCTCCTCCCATAACACACATCCTCCCTCCTCCCATAACACACATCCTCCTTCCTCCCATAACACACTATCCTCCCTCCTCCCATAACACACATCCTCCCTCCTCCCATAACACACATCCTCCTTCCTCCCATAACACACATCCTCCCTCCTCCCATAACACACATCCTCCCTCCTCCCATAACACACTATCCTCCCTCCTCCCATAACACTCATCCTCCCTCCTCCCATAACACACATCCTCCCTCCTCCCATAACACACATCCTCCCTCCTCCCATAACACACATCCTCGCTCCTCCCATAACACACATCCTCCCTCCTCCCATAACACACATCCTCCCTCCACGGTGTCTGGTTCCTCCTGTTGTCAGACTCTTGGTAGAGCAACAAGATCGAAGACACAGAAGCCCAGGCCCTCCCAGTTAGGCCGCCCATGCCCGCACTTCTCAGGTGGGTGGTAGACCCTTCCCTGCAGTGGGTGGAGGGCGTGCCCCAGCTCATCACGGGCAGAGCAGCGCCCTGGGCTGGCAGCTCCGGTGCAGGCCGCCTCCCTGTCAGGCAGGTGCGGGAAGAGCCACCCTGGACTCGGGGCCCAGACTCTGCTTTAAGCGCTCACTTTGTGGCTTCAGTGGGAGGCCTGGGCCCCCCCCCCCCCCCCCCCCCCCCCCCCCCCGCCTCCGGGCCGCAAAGGGGGTGGTCACTCCTACTCCTGCTGCTCTGGCGAGGACAACACGACACCAGGCAGCGGGAGTGAAGTGCTTTCAGCCTCCTCGAGGCTGGCATAATGCGTCCACGAGTGTCCCAGGGCCCAAGGCAAAGGCCGCGAGGCACGGCCACGGGAGGGAGGCAGGCCCTGCGTGGCATCACGTAGCTCCCTCCCCCCTGCTCCTGCTCCTGCTCAGGGAGGCTGTCTGAGGGGCAGCCTGGGGAAGGGGGGTGTGAAATGACTTCCTTGCAGACACAGTTAAGTCAGGTGATCAAAAGGGGCCTCGTGCCCCGCCGGCGTGGCTCAGGGGTTGAGCGTAGGCCTATGAACCAGGAGGACAGGGTTTGATTCCCAGTCAGGGCACATGCCCTCGTGTGAGCTCCATCCTCAGTGCGGGGAGTGCAGGAGGCGGCCAATCAATGATTCCCTCTCATCACTGATGTTTCTCTCCCTCTCCCTTCTTCTCTGAAATCAATAAAAGTATATTTTAAAAAAACACAACACAACAAAACAAAAAAATGTGCCTTGTGATCTCACCTCATTTCAACCCCAAAGCTGCTCGTCCCGTCCTCCCTGGTCACCCATCATTCAGGCTGCAGAAGCAGGGTCGGCCATGACCCCTCGTGTCCAGCCAGACACCTGAGTCCTTTTCAGCAGCAGAGCTCGTCAGACGCATGTTCACAGCGCAGCCTGAACTCAGCCACCCCTCACCAGCAGCACCCGACCCAGGCCAGTCCCCGCAGGTCTTCCTGGATCACCCAGCAGCTCCCTCCCCTGGCCAGTTCCCCACAGCTCTCCCCTGGATTAGGGCGCTAGCTTCCTTGCCAGGCTTCCTGCTGCCGCCCTCGCCGGCCTGAGCCTGGTCTCCAATGGGGATCATTTACTCTTATACCACTACCACCAAACAGGTGGGGAAATGACATGGTGCTTCTACAGACATAGGACAAAGGGATGGAGGCTATGACCCTGAGAGGGAGGAACAAAGGAGGCGAGCCCTCCTATTGGCCCAGCGAATGGCCTGGGGAGAATTTCCAGGCTGGAGTGCAGGGACCAGAGCGTTGATGGAGGCCCTGAGGACCTGGGAAGGCGAAGGCAGGGAGAATGTGCAGCGCCAGGGACCTGCGGGCTGCCCTGGATTCTGAGTGCTGACAGCTAGTGTGTGAGGCAAGTCCCCAAGGCCAGGGCTAGCAGACAGCGTCACCTCGGGCCCATCTCACCGCTACTGAGGCCATCCCTTTGGCATGTCTCCCAGGAAGTACAGTGCTTCCGTCCCAGTGGGCGGCGGTGTTCCTGTGCTGGCCCCTGTGAGCTCCAGGGATTGTCCTGCCAGTGCGTCCGGCTGTCCTTCCTCAGCCTCGGTGGTTCCCTGCCCTGCCGGCACCGATCGGAGGCCAGAGGTCTGGGTCCCTGGCCGCTCTGATCTCCCTCTGTGAGGCCTGCGCCGCCTGCCCGGTCCTAGGCCTGACACTGTTGAGACTATCCCGGCCTTTCAGAATTCCCAGACTTGCTAGTTACCTCCTTACAACATTGTGTCTGATTAAACTCTCAGAAGGGAGGCATCGTAATGCCTATTTCACCCACAATCAAACCAAAGCCTCTCAGAATTCAAAGAACTGCTCTAGCCAGTTTTGCCCAATGGCTAGAGCATCAGCCTGCAAACCAAAGGGTCCTGGGTTCGATTCCACTCAAGGGCATGTACCTTGGTTGCAGGCTCCTCCCCTGCCCAGGCGCTGGTTGGGCGCATGCAGGTGACAACCAATCGGTGTTTCTCTCACATCGATGTTTCTCTCTGTCTTTCCCTCTTTCTCCCTAAGAATCAATGGAAAAATATCCTCGGGTGAGGATTAAAAAAGAGAGAAAGAACTTACCAAAAACATGTGTCCGAGCAGCTGGCAGCCAGAGCGCAGATGTTCTGAGTCCGTGTAGTCTCCTGAATTCTGCTTGACTACCCAACTGCCAGGGCAGGTTCCTTCTCAAGCCCCGCCCATTGCACGAACTGTGGGGGCCACGCCCCTCTGCCAGGGGCTGGACCTTCTTGGACACTCGGTGGTAGACGGAGAAGCCATGAGAAGTTGAGGGTGTATATAGGAAAGCCTTTATTGTAGGGGCCAGTGGCCATATAGCCAGCAGACAAAACACTCCATCACAGCGAGGTCCCACACAGGAAGCTGCACACCGGCTGATAAACGCACACACCTTTCCCGGTAAGCAGTAGCAGTCGCCGTACCCACGGCCGTTATCTGAGCAGCCGCACGCTGCCTCAGACTCACAGCTTCACGCAGCAGCGGCTGAGCTCTCTCTGAGCTCTCGGCTCTTCTCTAGCCTCTCTGGACTCCTCTCCAGGCCTCGCCAGCCTCTTCGGCCTCCATGTAGGTCTTCATCCCAGGGGCAGCCCAAGATTTTAATTCGCGGTTGCTCCCAGATCTCCACCTTAGTTTCAGCTCACGATTCTGATGGATCCATATATATAATCTTTAAGGACTTGGCATGTTTCATCTAGGTCTGAGTTACCTAGTGCAGAGGGTCCTCCAAACACTGGGACTCCCACATCGCCAGAGAAGCCCATGAGCTCCCTTCTCTGAAAGTAGGAACTTATGTTCCCAGAACCCAGCGTGGGGACCACCTCATACTTGGCAGGTGATGAATGACTTAAAAAAGAATGATAAAACCACACCCCGGGCTCTCTAGATTGGTGAGGAGTCAGAGGTGCAAGCTCTCTTCCCAGCCACCTGGGGAGCCATGATTTAGTGTCACCCTTGAATGTCTAGGCCATCGCCCTCCCAGGTCATAGGTTATCTCGGGCCCATGGCTGGTGCCACGGGCAGGAGGAAGCGGGAGGGCAGTGGTTGGCGGCTTGTATGGAAGGAGCCTGGCTCACTGGCTCCCCTAGTCCACAGCCCACTGCTGCCCCCGCCCAGCGCCGCTGCTCTCCTTCTTCCCAGGCCTCTACGCCGAGGACCCACTGTCTGCGCAGGCTGTCCCTACCGAGGCCAAAGAATACAGACTGTTCAGCCTAGCGCACTGCTGTGGGAATGCAGGCTGCTGAGCCACTACGGAAAACAGTGTGGAACTGCCGTTTGACCCAGGGATCCCACCCGCAGGAATATACCCTGAGACCCGAAGCGCCACTCAGAAAGCATGTGTGCACCCTGTGTCACAGCAGCACAATTCACAATAGCTAAGACCTGGAAACAGCCCAAGGGCCCATCAGCAGACGAGTGGATAAAACGCTGGGGTACATTTACACCATGGAACACTGTGCAGCAGTAACAATGAAGGGTCTCTTACCCTGTGAGGCAGCATGGAGGGGCCTGGAGAGTATCATGCTGAGTGACAGAAGTCAGTCAGAGAAAGACAAGTGTCACTGATCTCACTCACATGTGGAATCTAAGGAACAAAATAAACTGATGGACGGAGGGGACCCAGAGACATGGACGCAGGGAACAGAGTGCGGGATCTCGGAGGGAAGGCGGGGCAGGGTGGGTGGTGGGAGACAATCAACCTAAGACCCTGTGTGCATGTATGCATGGCCCATGGACACAGACAGTGGGGAGGTGAGGGCCTGGGGCGGGGTGGACTGGAGTGGGTTGATGGGGGAGAGGGGGACATATGTAATACTTTCAACAATAAAGATAAAGAAAATAAAATAAAATTAAAAAGTAAAGATTGTGGCTCAATAGCCCACTCAGTGCTGATGAAGCAGCCCAGTCAGACGTGTCAGACCTCACATTCCTGTTTAATAAAAGCAGCCACGTGGGAGCAGTGACAGCAGCAGCGGGCACAGCAGCTGCGCCCAGCGGGACTGCATTTCCCACCACAGCTGGTTTCTGCCCGGAGACGTGGGAGGCGTGGAGAGGGCGAGGCTCACTCAGACCCTCTCCTCCCTCCACTCCGGCTCGCAGTGACCGGGGCTCTCCCCAGAGAGCCTGCGGAGTGGGGGTGCTCCTTCCCGGCTTGGCGATGCCTGAGACCGCCTGGGGGCGGGGTCTCTCCGGGGGGTGCGGGGAGCACCAGGGGGGCCGAGCGGGGCTGCTGAGCAGGCTGCTGCCCTCCTCTTGAGCTCTTGTGGGCCACAGGGCGCTTACAGGGTTGGAGGCCCTTAGCTGCGCCGGGACAAGCTGAGGCTGTGGGCACAGGGGCGTGCCGAGGGGCGCTTGCCCGGTGCCTGGCGTCCGGGGTCCCCAGGCCTGCAGAGGGGCCGCGGCATCAGGGCTCAGACTAGAATAAGAGACCCATAGAGAGCGAGTCAGCGGATTTGAAAGCGGACACAGCAGTGCTGTGTGCAAAATTAACTCCCTTTCCCGAAGCTCGTCACCCCTTCCCCTACCCCATGGGGAGGCCTCAGACGCTGCCCCCCTCCCATGGGAAGCTGTGAGGCCGCTGGGCGCAGCCCACACTCCAACATGCGCATTGCACGGCCTCCAGCCTCCGAGCTAAGGACGCTCAGCCCTCGTGGCGGGAAGCCCAGGCCGCTCCCTGGTGCGGACAACACTGGGGGGTGGACGCTGCCTCCGCACGTCTGGGTGAAGCCTGAGAGCAGAGGAGGGAGGGCTCACCTGGCGGACACTGTGGATCCAGTTGAGATAGGCCGCGACCTTGGTGTACACTCCCGGGGTGCTCGGGCCCCCACAGCCGTGGCCCCAGCTCACGATGCCCACGACGTGCCACTGGCTGGAGTGATGCATCAGGGGTCCTCCGCTGTCTCCCTGGGAGAGGGCAGAGCAGGGGCTGCTGGGTAGGCAGGCGGGCAGGGTGGAGGGTGGGTGTCCCTGTGCCCCCTGCGCCCGCCCGCCGATGCTGGCTGTGCCCTGCCCTCTCTGCTTGCACTGTCCCTGAGCCTAGAGCAGGGGTGGGCAAACTTTTTGACTCGAGGGCCACAATGGGTTCTTAAACTGGACCGGAGGGCCGGAACAAAAGCATGGATGGAGTGTTTGTGTGAACTAATATAAATTCAAAGTAAACATCATTACATAAAAGGGTACGGTCTTTTTTTTTTTTTTTTAGTTTTATTCATTTCAAATGGGCCGGATCCGGTCCGCGGGCGGTAGTTTGCCCACGGCTGGCCTAGAGTGTCCTTCTCTTTGGGGGCAAAAAGGTTCAGTTGGAGGTCAAGTGGGTTGTGGGTGTGCCCAGGCCCTCCTGTGGAGACCCACACCTCACCCCAGCGGGGGAGGCGCCAAGGGCCCTGCAGCAGGAAGCTGGTTATCTTCCTTTCATATAGCATTTCTCAAGGTACTGAACCACAGTGTGGCGATTAGCATGTTCTCGGCCAGTGGTCGGCAAACTGCGGCTCGCGAGCCACACGCGGCTCTTTGGCCCCTTGAGTGTGGCTCTTTCACAAAATACCACGTGCAGGCGCACGCGTACAGTGCGATTGAAACTTCGTGGCCCATGCGCAGAAGTCGGTATTTTGTGGAAGAGCCACACTCAAAGGGGCCAAAGAGCCGCATGTGGCTCGTGAGCTGCAGTTTGCCGACCACTGTTCTAGGCAATTGGATTCAACCCATGAAAAGAGCAAAGATCCCTGCCTTTGGGTAGCTTAGAATCAAATGGAGAGGAGAGAGAGAGGGAGGGAGGGAGAGAGAAAGAGAAGGAGAGAAAGGGAGAGGGAGGGAGAGGGAGAGAGAAAGAGAGGGAGAGAGGGAGAGGGAGGGAGAGGGAGAGAGAAAGAGAGGGAGAGAGGGAGAGGGAGGGAGGGAGAGAGAAGAGAGGGAGAGAAGAGAGAGGGAGAGGGAGGGAGGGAGAGAGAAAGAGAGGGAGAGAAAGGGAGAGGGAGAGGGAGGGAGAGGGAGGGAGGGGTAAGCACACAAGACAGACAAAAATGTCAGAGAATAAAAAGTGCACCTACTTGGGTGTCTGCCCCTTCAGTTCCTATAACCCTTGGGGTCTCTTCCTTCAAAACCCAGTAACTGGTGGCCAAGGGCTGTGCGCACCCCTCACCCTCACTGTGCACCCCCCGAGGGAAGACATGGTCCCAACGCCCAGCCCTGGCCTGGTTAAGAGGCGACTGAGCGGCACCTCTCGAGTGAGAGAACTGAGCGGTGCGGATGGCGGTTTTATTTATTTTTATGTATTTATGTATTTATTTATTATTATTTTGTAATCCTCACCCGAGGATATATTTCCATTGATTTTTAGGGAGAGTGGAAGAGAGAGGGAAAGACAGAGAGAAACATTGATGTGGGAGAGACATTGATTGGTTGCCTCCTGCATGAGCCCTGACCAGGGCCTGGGCCAGGGTGGAGCCCGCAAACGAGGTACGTGCTCTTGACTGGACTCAAACCCGGGACCCCTTGGTCCACAAACCAATGCTCTATCCACTGAGCCACACAGGCCAGGTCAGGGTGAGGGGTTTGAATGAGAGGGTCTCCGAAGAGCCTCTGGGGGAGGGAAGTGAGGCATGGCCAGGGCGGGACACAGCGCCGGCCCACCAGCACGAGGGGGCTGTCGAGGGCAGTGCAGTAGCTGAGGACAGAGAAACCGGGCGGAATTCCTGCCCTCAGGGGCTCTTACTCCGTAGACGATGGGACGTGGGGTGGGTGGGAAGGTGTGAAATACGGATCCGCTTAACATCCTTCTGCTCGTCTCCATCCACCTGTCCATCCATCCCTGTGCCATTCTCCGGCCGTCACCTCTCTCCCTGCTTCTCTCCCTCCTCCCGTGCGCACACGTGGGGGCCTTCCTGTGCGAGGCTTCCTTGGGCACTGAGCTCCTGGCTTCCTTGTCTCTCTAGGCCCTGTTCCTACCCACGGGATTCCCTCCGCTCCGTGGAGGCCCACCTGGCAGGTGTCCACGCCGCCCTGCAGGACGCCCGCGCACAGCATCTCCGCTGTGACCTCCCCCTGGTACGCGTCCTCCGCGTTGCACCGCGCCCTGTCGATGACCTGGACCGACGCCTGCAGCAGCTGGTCAGACATCTTCCCTGGAGGCGGAGGCACACCCACTTCCTTGTCCTTGTCCTGGCCTTGGCCCCAGCTCAGGGAATGCTCCCGGTCACCGGGCACCCTGATGGATGGCCCTCCTTCCCACCCCCTCTGAACACTGCCCCCTCGGCCCTGCCGCCCTGAGCCCGGGACTCACCTGCACCCTGTTCTGTGAAGCCCCACCCGATGACCCACACCGGGGTGGCCGGAGGGAGCTCCTCATCCGAGAAGGGCAGGCAGATGGGCCTGACGAGGCCTGCGGGGAGCAGAGAGGAAGGGGACCCCATGTGCAGGAGGCCCTGGCGTTAAGCCTCCATAGCACACAGTCCACACGATGTTAATAGAAGTGGGAGGAAAAAGGGTTCTATAGTCAAATAAGTTTAGAAAATGTGGGTTAAACACAATAAAACAAATTATTTTTAAAAAATCTTTAAATGTCTCCATCTTTAGTATACTAAAGTGCTCCAAAAAGAGCTAGTTATAAAAATGTTTCCCAAACTTATTTGAGAAGGAACCCTTCTTTTTCCTAAGGTCGTGGCCGGCAAACTGCGGCTCGCGAGCCACATGCGGCTCTTTGGCCCCTTGAGTGTGGCTCTTCCTAAGCCTTAGGAGTACCCTAATTAAGTTAATAACAATGTACCTACCTATAGAGTTTAAGTTTAAAAAATTTGGCTCTCAAAAGAAATTTCAATCGTTGTACTGTTGATATTTGGCTCTGTTGACGAATGAGTTTGCCGGCCACTGCCCTAAGGGACCCATGTCCTGTGGAACCAACAGCTGGAAATGCTGATTTAAATACTGCCCGAGAGCCCGGCCGGCGTGGCTCAGTGGTTGAGTGTTGACCTATGTACCAGGAGGTCAGGGTTCGATTCCCGGGCAGGGCACATGCCTGGGTTGCGGGCTCAATCCCCAGTGTGGGGCGTGCAGGAGGCAGCTGATCAATGATTCTCTGTCATCATTGATGTTTCTATCTCTCTCTCCCTTCCTCCCTCTCTGAAATCAATAAAAATATATTAGAACAAAGGAAATACCGTCCTCTATAGGCATGAGTCGTACAACAGAACTGCACCAGGTTCGGTGGCGGCCTTGCTAGCGGTGAGTCCCTGCCCTGCAGGAGAGCAATGGGCACGCGGACCCCTTGGCAGGGACAGCGGGAGGCGCTTGGCATCGGCTGGGGGTGGAGGATGGACTGTGACCTCCACGACTGGAGGGACCTGTGACCCTCACTTAGGGTGCCGCACCCGGAGCGCTGGTGTGGGATAGTGGGGTGTCCACTGGCCGACCTGAGCCTCCTGACGTCCAGGACGCTAGGCTGGCGGATTTGCTGGAACAGATGGGCAGCTGGGGCCTTCGAGAAGTGACGAGCTCAGGCCACTTAGTGAGCGGGCGGCAGAGCGGGAATGGGCCTGAGCTAAGGGCTCTGCCCAGGAGCATCACTCACCTGAGAGCGTGAGTGGGTCCCGCAGCCTCACCAGAGCGATGTCCTTCTCTTTGGGGGACGTGGCGTTGTGCTCGGTGACGAAGATCTTGGCCACGGGCAGGGCTGGGAAGCTGCCGAGTCTGTCTGAGCCGACCCTCACCTTCCAGCCGGGCACATCGAGATGCTTCCTGGGGCAGAGCCAAGCAGGAGGGGGCTTTGCCAATGGCCGGGCCCCCAGCGCCCTGGGGGTGGGAGCTCCAGTTGCCTGCCTCAGCGGGTAAGGATGGTGCTGGCAGGGGTGCTGGAGAGGGGCCGGTCTGAGGAATCTCCGACCACAGGCCAAGTCTAAAAGGGGATGGGATCCTTTTCCCAGGGAAACCTGCCCAAGCAAACTTCCAGCTGGAGGGCTGGGGAGGGCTGCCTCCAGGCCGGAGCGCGGGGCCTTCCCCTGCTTCTGGTCACAGTCGCCCATGGCACCTGCATGTGGGCAGGTACTTATGTGCGCGGCTTTCTTCCTCTGACACCAGACACCGCTTAGGGATGGTTTCCCAGGAGAGGTTTACACCTTTTGTCAGATTCTCAAAAAAGGTTAAGAAACTGGCCTAGCCCTAGCTGGTTTGCTCAGTGGATAGAGCGTCGGACTGCACATGCCCAGGTTGCGGGCTCGATCCCCAGTGTGGGGTGGGCAGCCGATCCATGATTCTGTCTAATCATTGATGCTTCTCTCTCTTTCTCTTCCTCCCTCTCTGAATCAGTAGTATATATAATCACTGGCCTAGACTGTGAATCCTCTAAGGCAGTAATGGGGCTAATGTCCACGGACACAGTAGACGGTTTGGTACCTTGTAGGAACTCCTCAGATGCAGAACGAACGAACGAACGAACGAATGAATGAATGAATGAATGAAATAAAGGCCTGGGGGTGGGCCTCCCCCTGAGGGGCGGGCAGGCCCGGGCTGGCCTGGGAGGAAATCTATGCTTGTTGGCTTGTTGTTAAGTTTCTGAACACAGTGAGGGAGCGGCAGGGCTCCGGGCCCCAGGACCCCTTCCTGGAAGACCAGGGAAGAGGGAGAGGTGCTCGCCCCGGGCAGGTGGGAGGAGCCTTCATGGGGTGCATGACAGGGCGGCTGAGGACAGGGCGGCTGATGCTTCCCACCCTCTGCTCAGACCGCGTTTAACAAAGGACCTTGTGTCTGCCATCTCACGGGGGGGGCCACACCCTAGGACAGTGGTTCTCAACCTTCCTAATGCCGCGACCCTTTAATACAGTTCCTCATGTTGTGGTGACCCTCAATTTTCACTGTTACAAATTGAACATAATTAAAGCATAGCGATTAATCACAAAAACAATATGTAATTATATATGTGTTTTCCGATGGTCTTAGGCAACCCCTGTGAAAGGGTTGTTCGACCCCCAAAGAGGTCGCGACCCACAGGTTGAGAACCGCTGCCCTAGGACATAGGGTTTAAGGGCAGGGGAAGGGGCCCGGGCCTCAGGCCCTCGAGGCTCTGGCTCCCACAGGCCTGCGGGCACTGGGCTTACCTGAAGCAGTGGGCCGCCGTGAGGACCCAGTGCGAGTCCAGGATGCTCCCGCCGCAGACGTGCTGCTGGTGGTACTGGATGCTGACCTGCCACGGCCAGGACTCCACGGAGGCCTGCTGCCCGCCCACCACGCGTGGGGCCTTCGGGCTGTCCCCGCAGGCTGGGCTCGGGAGGGAGAGCAGGGCCCGGGCTCAGGGAGGCTGGGACGGACCAGCGCGGTGGAGAGGGCCGGGCCCGCTCCTAGGCTCCTGGGGCGCTATGGGGGCCCCAGATAGGGCTCCCCAAGCCCCTCGCCTTCTTTGTCAGCGCTGGGTGCGCTTGGCATTACTGTGCACATGGGTGTCCCCTGTGCGGGCAGGTTATGACCTTCACACTGAACAGGGATGCGGGACCCCATGCCCCAGCCGCTGATCTGGGAGCCGGAAGTGGGAAGAAAGTTTCAAAAACGGGCTCTTCCCACCCTAAGCTCACCTCCTCCAAGTCCCTGCTCTCTGAGCGGGTCTTCCTCTCTCATCCCACCTCCTGGCTTTTCTAGGGAACCTCGCACGCGACTCGCAGAAACCTGCTGTCCCTCTGAGGTTTGAGCGTCTGATTGATGCTTCTCTGTCTCTGGACCTGTTTTTGTTCATCGGTTTATGTTGTTCATTATAGTCCACAAATGAGTGAGAGCGTGAGATATTCATCTTTCTCCGACTGGCTTATTTCACGTAGCATAATGCTCAAAACTCCGAGGGAAGGCAGGGGAGGGTGGTGGTGAGGGGGAGCGGTCAACCCAAGGACTCGTATGCACGCATATGAGCATAAGCGATGGATGTGGACAGCAGAGGTGAGGGTGAGGGCAAGATTGGGGGGATGAGGGGACATTGGGGGATAAGGACATATTTGTAATATCTTAATCCAGTGGTTCCCAACCTTCCTAATGCTGCGACCCTTTAATACAGTTCCTCATGTTGTGGTGACAATTTCATTGTTACAAATTGAACATAATTAAAGCATAGTGATTAATCACAAAACAATATGTCATTATATATGTGTTTTCCCATGGTCTTAGGCGACCCCTGTGACAGGGTCGTTCAACCCCCAAAGGGGTCGCGACCCACAGGTTGAGAACCGCTGCCTTAATCAATAAAGAAAAAAAAAGAACCTGCCACCCCGCTGCCCTGTTCTCAGCCTCTTTAGTCCTCGAATCGTATGCGGCTCCCCCACTCGGCTCCCCCCACGCGGCTCTCACAGACAGGCCGCTCTCCTGGGCCCGCTGGCCGGGGACTTCCAAACACCATCGCCCTCGGAACAGCAACAGCGAACAGCGCTGTGTGCCTGCGCCAGCTCCTGGCAAAGCCCCGCGCCCCTCCGTTTGCCGGGCAGGGTTTAGCTCCCTCGCAGCCGCCCGCGGTCCCAGGTAAAGTTTACCCGGAGCCAATCCAGCGCTAGGAAGTCCCTGAGCTGTCAGTCCTCCTGTCTGTTCCAGGCAGGCCCTGCCTGTGCACCACTAGCTCCTCCCCATTTTCCCAAATCATCTGAGCCCATGTACACCAGTGCCTGCTCTGCCTCGGGGAGCTGAGCAGAGAGTGATGGACAGACAGACAGACAGACGCGGTCCCTGCCCTCCGGAGGAGCTTCCTCTTGGAGGTCAGGTGGCTGTGGCCAGCCTTTCATTGCCACGGTCAGGCTCTCAGCAGCGAGACCTCCGGCTCCTCAGGGAGGGTGAGGGACCGAAGCCGGGGTGCCTTCAGTGCACTGAGTGCGAAGGACAGGCGTGCGGACGGAGGGGTGTCTCCATGCCCACCGCTCGCAGGAGCACAGGCCCAGAGAGGAGCTGGGACAGACCAGAGGAGACTCGGAGTCTGAGAGGTTTAGGACGAGCACCAGGCCCTCCTTCGTGCCCGCAGTGGCCTGCCCCCCCCCCCCCCCGCCCCCTGAGGGGTACTCACCCAGGCAGCGCAGGGAGACCAGGGAGCCCGAGAGGCAGGGCCTGCGGAGACACGGCTGCTGTCTGCGCCTGCTCTGCTGGGAGGCCGGCCCTGGCCTCTGGACACACTGGCTCAAGCCCCTCCCAGCCTGGGGAGCTGGACTCTGCCCCGGCTGCTGCACTGCCACTCGGTTCCGTTCGAGTTAACCTGATTGAACTCGACCGCCCCGGGGACAAGCGTCCAGGACAGGTGGGCCCCGGGCAGAGCCCACGCGGCTCTCGGCCGCCGCGAGGAGGAAGCAGAGCGGAACAGCACCTGCTGTGCGGCAGCCTCGCCCAAGGGCGGGATTGCCAGGGAACCCAGCAAGGACCACCCTGCTCCCAGCCTGCCCTTTGCAAGCCTTGCTCCTCGATAGACAGATAGCCGGGCAGCGAGCCCGAAGGCTAAGCAGCCAGCGTCCTCCCGGTGCCGCCTGCTGCCCTGGAGGCTGGCAGACGTGGCTCTGACTCCGGGGGAGGCGTGGGGACCGGCCGCTGCGCGGTCTGCCGGGGGCTGGGGTGAGGGGGCCTACGCTGGCCTGTGCGTGAGGGGAAGGCAGTGGCCTGGGGAATAGGAGGGAGCATCGGCAATGGGACGAGAGACGGTTTTACTCGTCGGCTGATGGGAAGGCCACCAAGGTGTGGACACACCTCTGTCCAGCTGTCCATTGATTTAAAGAGTCAAGCCCGACCGGTGCGGCTCAGTGGTTGAGTGTTGACCTCTGAGCCCGGAGGTCACGTTTGGTTCCTGGTCAGGGCACATGCCTGGGTTGTGGGCTCGATCCTCACGTGGGGCTGGGGCATGCAGGAGGCAGCTGATCAACGGTTCTCTCTCATCATTGATGTTTCTCTCTCTCTCCCTATCCCTTCCTCTCCAAAATCAATAAAAACATATTTTAAAAAATAAAATAAAAAGAGAGTCAACATGGACAGTCTCAGAGCTGTGGCTCTCCCGCCCTCGCTATCTGCCCTCTTCCTGTCCTGGAAGCGCACCCCCTCGCCGTGTCTGCCCGGGGCGGGCTGGTGCTGCCGGGATGCACCCCGGTGTGAGCGTCAGGGTTGGGGCTGGCCCTCACTCACCCGCGGGGGTGCTGCACCTGGAGCTCCTGGCTGGCCGCTGTGATGACAACCACGTCCAGCTCTTGGTCTGGACCGATCTTCACGGCTTGGAAGGTGGGTTTGCTGCTCATGTCGGCAGGAGAGAGAGATGTGAGCGAGGGCAGGAGTTTAGAACCAGAGGGTGGGAACAGCCCCCCTCAAGAGAGAAGGTGGCCGGGACTACGTCGTGGGCGCCGCAGGGGACAGGTGGCCTTGGTCAGCACGGGTGTCCCGAGCGAGTCCCTGGCCTCCCAGGACCCCATCCAGGTGCAATGCTGTCGTGGCCTCGCCTTCCCGGGCAGGGGACAGTCCTGATCAGAGCTTAGGAGAAATGGTAGGGACACCCTTCCTAACTCTCAGCTCTGTCCCTGTCCCAAAGGGCCCAGCAGGACCCAGGGTAGCTGCCCTCCTCGGCGGGGACAGGATGTGGATCTGGGTCCCTAAGGCACCTCGCCTGCGGTGGGTGGTGGAGGTGCATTCCGGCCCCTCGGGCATAGGACAGAGCACAGCCGGCCTTCACACGAGTCCAGGCAGCACCGCTCTCCTGGGCCTCTCTCCTTTCTCTCTGCAAACCCACGTTTCTTCTTTCAGACCCTGGGCTTGAGTCCTCCTCCTCCAGGATGGCTTCCTGGATGACTCCCATCTTTCCCTTCGTTTCTTTCTTTTCTTCTTCTTCTTTTTTTTTTTTAATATATTTTATTGATTTTTTACAGAGAGGAAGGGAGAGGGATAGAGAGTTAGAAACATCGATGAGAGAGAAACATCGATCAGCTGCCTCTTGCACACCCCCTACTGGGGAGGTGCCCGCAACCAAGGTACATGCCCTTGACCGGAATCGAACCTGGGACCCTTCAGTCTGCAGGCTGACGCTCTATCCACTGAGCCAAACCGGTTAGGGCTCTTTTCTTTTTTAAAATAGATTTTTATTGATTTCAGAGAGGAAGGGAGAGGAAGAAAGAGAAATATCAATGATGAGAGAGAATTATTGATCGGCTGCCTCCTGCATGCCCCCTACTGGGGATTGAGCCCACAACCTGGGCATGTGCCTTGACCAGGAATTGAACCCGGGACCTTTTAGTCCGCAGGCTGACACTCTGTCCACTGAGCCACACCGGCCAGGGCTTTCCCCTTGTTTCTTTACTCCTGGCATCCTTCCCCCCAGTCAGGCCAGCACCAGCTCTGCCTGCAGGGATCAGACCAACCCCCGGCCCTGGCTGACGGGCACATCCTCACAGTCCCAGCCGGAACCTGGCTCTGGGTGCAGATGCTGCCTCCCGGAGGACTGGAGTCAGCAGGGCTTTGTGTTACAGCCCTCGAGAGGGACTGAGGTGCCTGTCCTGGCACCGGCACCGGCACCGGCTTGGAGTACAACCTGGGCAGGCCCGCCCTCCCCAGATCTCCTGAGCCTCCTTTCTCCTCTGCAAGATGATGGGGGGCGGGGGGAGGGGCAGATGGTCTCTAGAGTCCCTCTCACTTCTAACCAGGCAGGGCTTTGTGTCCTGGCACGAGCAGGACCTCCTGTCCGGGCGGAAGAAGAAACCTAGAGGAGTCTGAGACCCAGAAGCAGGGACAAGGGTGGCAACGGGCAGTCCCAGGAAAGGTAAGTCACGGGTCACATCCTGACGATCACGGGGACCGGCTCTGGTTCTGTCGAGCTCAAGAGCAGGCGGAGGGAGACACTCCAGGAGCCTGCTACCTGAGGGCATTTCAGGACGTCCTGTTTCCCCAGCCAAGCCGAGCCTGCTGGGCGGGCGCAGCCGAGCCTGCAGGGGCCGGGCTGTGGGGAGCAGGGAGAAGCGCAGGGCGGGGCCCGCCTTCCCAGCCTCCTCAAAATGACAGAAATGACGGTGGTGAGCTTCCCTCTCCAGAGGCGCTGGGAGTCGCCTCCCTGGGGGCCGAGACCAGCAGAAGCCTGGCACCCCGAGAGCGGGACACGCAGGTCTGAAAGGTTAGGAAAGTCTGCCTGGAGCGTCCATTGGGAAGGAGCCTTGAGGCTGCTCGAGGGACGGAGGGCGAGTTCTGTGGTTGGTGGGTGGTGGGCCTGGCATCCGTCATTCCTGCCTGTCTCTGGGTGCCGTTTCTTAGAATCACGAAGTTGGGGCCTGTCAGGAAGAGGCCATCCCACTCCGTGCTGAGCACCTGGACCTCCCGTCCCTGCGGCTGGGCCCTCGGAGAGGCCCACTCTCCCTCCCGTTACAGATGGCACGTCGGGCAGAGAAAACAGCCAGCCTGCTAGAACTCCTGAGCCCAGGAACTCGGGGCCTGGGCACAGACCCCAGCCGCTCCCTTCCAGCTACTACCCGGGAAGTCACTTTCTTCCTCCAAACCTATTTCTAAAATACAGTGGGGCCTTGACTTAAGAGTTTTAATTCGTTCCGAGACCGAGTTAAGGAGCTCGTTAACTCAAATTACTCTATCAACTCAATGCAAAAAATCGGCGGAGAGACAGCTGGTATCTCAAAAAACTCGTTAGTTGGGACACTCGTTAAGTCAAGGCCCCACTGTAGATATAATAGGCCGGCCAGCATGGCTCAGTGGTTAAGCATCAACCTATAAACCAGCCCTAGCCGGTTTGGCTCAGTGGATAGAGCGTCAGCCTGCGGACTGAAGGGTCCCAAGTTTGATTCCAGTCAGGGCACAAGTCCAGGTTGCAGGCTCGATCCCCAATAGAAGGCATGCAGGAGACAGCTAATCAATGATTCTCTCTCATCATTGATGTTTCTCTCCCTCTCCCTTCCTCTATGAAATCAATAAAAATGTATAAAAAATAAATAAATAAAACAAGTGAAATTAAAAAACACACACAAACCTATAAACCAGGAAGTCATGGTTCGATTCCTGGTCAAGGGCACATGCCCAGGTTCCGGGCTCGATCCCCCTAGTAGGGGGTGTGCAGGAGGCAGCCAGTCAATGATTCTTTCTCATCATTGATGTTTCTCTCTCTCTCTCCCTCTCCCTTCCCCTCTAAAATCAATTAAAAATAAATTTAAAATAGATATAGCAATATTTTTTTTGGCTTTTGCCAAGATCAGATGAATATAAATATATATTGCTTGTCACCCTTATAATTACATCCTTCTTCACCACCCATCACCTGGGACTGCTTTTGGATTCGCTGAGAGAGCAGGGAAATCGAGTTTGTTCAAACCAAATTTGACCAAGGACTGCCTTTTGCAGGGGAAGGGCTGCAGGATAAGGGGTGAGGCTGGGAGTGAAGGACAGGGGAGGCTGCCAAGGAATTGGGGCGTGTGGGCACGACTCTCCCTGGCACCTCACATGCACCCCACAAGGCTGGCACTGCTCTTCCCGGTGGCTCCTGAGCGAACCGGGGCTTTGGAGCCTGAACCGAGGCTTGTGCGTGCTGGGAGGAAGCCATCTGTCTGCCCCACACCTGGGCTTTCAGGAAAGGAGGCGAGAAGGAAGACAGTGGGAAGCAGAGGGGAAGAGGGAGGACCACAGCGAAGGAGGGAGGTCTCAGGGGGAGGTGGCCGCCTCGGAGGCTGGGCTGGGTACCTGTGAAAGCCCATCAGCCCACAGGCGGTCTGGGCCAGGGCTCCTGTGAAGCCGTCAAAGCAGGCAGAGGCCCAGGTTCCTGTGGCCGGGTCCAGCAGCTGGAGGGTGGACCTGTCGCTGGAGAGGCGGACTGCAGGCGGGAAGCTGGGTCAGCTGTGAGGGCCCACCACCCGTTTCCCTCCTGAGGCGTCGAGACCAGCCCCTCCCCTCCACCCCCCACCCCATCCTGCCCCGGGGCATCACAGAACACCAGCCCTCCAGCCTCCAGGGTGGCTTCGCATCTGGCTTTGCTTGGCTGAGCCTGTGTTGACCATAGCTGGAGAGACCAGATGTTCTGGGCCCGCCTCCACTTTGCCTGCTGCCTGGCATCATTATTAATAGCTCCTCCTTCTGCTTTCGAGGTACCAGCTTTGATGATGTATTGCATGGCCCTACCCACGGCTCACACAGCCTGCACAGCCTGGGGAACTCCTCAACGAGGGACCTCAAGGTCCGAGGGGAGCGTGAGCGAGGACTGAGGCAGTGGAATGGGGGTGCCCATAGGCATTTGACTTCTGATTTATAAAAACCCAAATACACAGGCTGTCACTCAGCCCGCTCCTCAAAAGCCCCATCACCACCCGTCGGCCTGGCTCTGGGGTTGAGCGTTGAACTATGAACCAAGGGGTCACGGTTCAATTCCTGGTCAGGGCACATGCCCGGGTTGCGAGCTCAATCCCCAGTAGGGAGCATGCCGGAGGCAGCCGATCCATGATTCTCTCTCATCCTTGATGTTTCTCTCTCTCCCTCTCCCTTCCTCTCTGAGATCAATAAAAACATTAAAAAACACAAAGCCTCAGCCACCCATATCCTGGGCTACATCCTCTCCAGAGCTCAGGGTGAGAAATGGGTTTCTCATGTCCCTTTGAGGGCCTGGCTCCGTCTTGTCACGCAGCACGCTATAAAACACGTGTCTAACGGACAGGAGGGTGAGTGGCCTCACAGCGTTCCTATCCTCTGGAAGTAGCAGAGAGGAGAGCACTCCCCCAGGTCTCCTGATCCAACCCCCACCTCCCTGCCACAGGGCACAGCGGAAATGGGCAGCTCGGGAAGTTCTGTTTCCTTTGGCTCACATTGGTCCACATGTTCGCTGAGTGTTCGCTATAGACTAAGCGCGGGGGTCTCGTGAGCAAGATGTGGTCCTGCTGTCAAGAACCTTACAACAGGGATGCAAGCTGACAGGTGGCAGATGGAGCCACCAGTGGAGCCCGTGCAGACGTCCCTCTGAGCCCTGCTCTAGCCCTCAGCCCCGGGCTCACCTGGCACTGGGGGCCCCTCGGGAAAGTTCTCCACGCAGAATCGCTCGTCGTCCCCCGAGGCGCAGTCCTGCTGGCCGTCGCACACCTGCTGCCTGGGGATGAAGCGGAGGGGCGGCCCACAGAGGAAGTAGTACTTGTCCAGGATGACCTTGACTGGAAGGCGAGGGCAGGGGGGCAGGGAGGGCTGAGCTTCCTGGACACGCACTGGGCGTGGAGCCAGGCAGACCCGGTCCCAGTGCTACCACAAGTCCTCTCTGTAAAGCGGGTGAGATAAAGCCTGGGCCAGGCCTGCAGATGGCTGGGGAGTTCGGCGAGATTCTGTGTGTGTGTATGTGTGTGTGTGTGCGCGTGCAGGGCGGGGGTAGGGGAGGGTTGCGGGGGGGAGAAATGTAGACAGAGCCCCCTCGCCTCACACCCCCACGGCTGGCACAGGCCTGTGAGCAAGGAGGAGACACGTGCCCTAGCCGGTGTGGCTCAGTGGATAGAGCGTCAGCCTGCGGACTGAAGGGTCTCGGGTTCGATTCTGATCAAGGGCACATGCCCGGTTGTGGGCTCCTCCCCAGCAGGGCCCTGGTTGGGGCATGTGCAGGAGGCAACCAATCAATGTGCTTCTCTCACATTGATGTTCCTCTCTGTCTTTCCCTCTCTCTTCCATTCTCCCTGAAAATCAATGGAAAATGTCCTCGGGTGAGAATTAAACAAAGAAAGGAGCCACGCTGGGCCTGGAGCCTGGGGGCCCAAGAGCTGGCTTGGCTCTGCTGTGCGACTTCAGGCGCTCGCATACGCTCTGGGGCTGTGTCCCCATCTGCACAGAGGGTGGTGCACCCTCCCGGGGCGTGAGAACATCTGGTGGCTGTGCGAGTGCGGCCACGTCAAGTGTGGCTCTAGGAGGAGGCGCTCTCATCTGGGGCTGCAAGACCCCGGAGAGGTTGATGTTTCGAGTTGGTTTTGCCCTCCGCTTGCTGCCTCCCGGGTCTGTGGCTCCTCTGCTGCCCGGGCGAGGGGATGAGCTGCCGCTTCACCTCCTCAGGGAGCATGCCCCTCACCGCTTTCCTGACCTCCCTGCAGGCCGAGTGCCTCCGGGCCGGCGCTCTTCTGCAGCCCAGTGAAAACCCGCTGGCCCTGAGCAGCAGTGATAAGCCTGACGCACCCCCGCTTCTCACTGCACAGAGCTTCCTGGGTCCTCCGCAGCCCTGGCCGGACCTCAGGAGGCAGGTGCCAATCAGAGAATGAGGTTAGAGAGTGAGGGTTTACTTCCCGACGCCCCACAGCACTTGAGGGGTAGAGTCGGGATCTCAGGGAGGGGCTGCCCGGCTCCCAAGCTCTTTGCTGCCCCTTCACGCCTCCCCGAGGGGCTGGGATGTCGCCCGCTGGCTCTGCGGCTCCTGCTCTGGGTGAGGCGAGGGAGAAGGTCGGGTACGTCCTAGACATTCAGAGTTTGGTGCATGGTACTCTGCCCTCCTGGGCAAAGCCAGGACACGGTGCCACCAGGTGAGACCCCAGAAGCCAAAAGACCAAGGGCACCTGACCCAGGCTGGAAGCTCAGGTCACCTGCTCTGGGCGCTGGCCTTGCCCGGCTCCCGGGGGACTGGATCTTTGCTGGCACCACGGCGGGCACTTGCTCAGAGGAGGAGAGCTCCGGTAACTTCGTCTGCACAGCTTGGGCTGAGGGTGGCCAGCCGCTGCCCCTGAGACCACCACGCTTTGGCGGATGCACCGGCCGAGGGAGGGCGGTCTGCACCTCCGGCCCCTGCGGGGCTCTTGGAGCCGCTGGTGTCCGTGCTGTGCGGCTGCGCTTCCACGGCCACAGGTGGCAATGGGCCTGCTCAGCGGCCTGGGGCTGGCTCAGTGTCCCCACGGCCGTGCCTTCTGAGCCCCGGTGCTCACGACAGAATGAGGATTTGACCAGACGACCTCTGAATGTCCTCGGCGAGGTGGTGCCAAGTGCCGGTCCCTGAGGGCCGTCCGGCCCGTGAGCAGGCGTGTGACCTTGGTTCCTCCCCTGCACGCTGTCCGGTGGCCCCGCGTGTGCACAGCCTGGTGTTTATCGAGCTCTTTACACGCTGTCTCCTCCGCTCTCCGATGTCCCCCTGAGGAGGCAGGACATTCATAGACGGGAGGACCGCAGCTCAGCGAGGCTGAGGCACTTTTTCCAGGCCGCACAGGAGCCCCGCCCCGTCTCCCGGGCAGCGGTTTACTCCCGTGTGACAGCTGAGGCGGGAGCCTGCGGTGACTGGGGGAGAGGAAGGCCAGGCCTCACCGTGGAATATGGGTGTGGAGAGGGAGGGGCTCGGGAATCCCTGCTCATTCACTTTTCCCCTCGGTCTAGAGTGGCCTGCCACACAGGTCCAGGCACTGGCCACACGCAGACGATGAAGATGGTGCTAAAGGCGGAGGGTGCTCTCTGCCCCAGGTCCCGATGCCTCCTCTCTCATCTCCCCTCACAGCAGATGCTCTGCTCTTCCAGCCACAGGGCTGCTCGCCACTCAGCTCGTCTGCAGATGGGGCGGGGCAGGCAGGCGGTATGCCTGCCATGTGGACACCTGTGTGGGTAACGTGTGCACGTGTGCCCTCCCTGCAGAGGATCATCGGTGGAGAAGCCGCCTGGACAGATGGGCTGAGTTCATGTCCTCCCTCTCTGTCTCTTGTAAAAAAATATTCATTTGAGAGAGGCAGAGGGAGAGAGAGAGAAGCGTCAATGCTGAGAGAGAAGCATCGACCGGCTGCCTCCTGCACGCCCCACACTGGGGATCGAGTCCACAACCCGGGGATGTGCCCTGACCAGGAAGCGAACCATGACCTCCTGGTTCGTAGGTCGATGCTCAACCACCGAGCCACGCGGGCCGGGCTGTCCTCTCTCACAGGAGGCCCCTTCAAAGCAGGGCGGTGCCTGTGGCTACAACACATTAGCAGGACCCGCCTGTGACTCGGGTGAAAAGAAGGAAGGCCAGGGTGTCACTCGGAGGTGGGGACAGGGGAGGGGTGAGAGGGGGCTGCCACTTACTGTGGCGATGAAGGTGGGAGTGGGGGCCGTAATGAGGGGTGAAGGTGGGGGTGGGGCCGTAATGAGGGTGAGGGGTTCCACTTACTGAGCACAGCCACGATGACAATGATCACCAGGCTCAGCAGTGCTGCGAGGATGGGGACCCCCACTTTCCTGAAGGTCTCCAGGGGCGTGCGGGGTTTGCGCAGGCGGGTCCTGTCTGTGAAGCGGAGGGAAGAGCCTGCGTCAGCGCTGGGAGGCCTCTCGTCTCCCTGCCCGGCCTGGGGGGCGCTGTGGTTAGCATCGGGGGTGGCTACTCCCTCAGAACAGCTCAGCTTCCTCAGCACCAGCTCCGTGCAGGTACCCAGGCTTTTCCATCCGCAGGCCTCAGGGGAGTCCCTGACCGTGGCGCCCCCCTGCCTTAACGGGGGCGCTCTAGGATGTGCCCCTCCAGCCTGCCCTGCCCCTGCCCTGAGAGGCACCGTCATGCATTTTGCTATCATTCATCCTCTTTCCTGACTTGCCCTTTTGGTTAACCTCCCCGAGGACATTTTCCCATTGATTTTAGAGAGAGTGGAAGAGAGAGGGAGAGACAGAGGGAAACATCGATGTGAGGGAAACACTCGATTGGTTGCCTCCTACACGTGCCCCGACCAGGACCCGGGCAGGGGAGGAACCTGCAACTGAGGTACCTGCCCTTGATCAGACTCTAACCCGGACCCTTTGGTCCTCAGGCTGATGCTCTGTCCACTGAGCCACACCAGTAGGGCTCCTGACTTATCGTTTGATTTAACTAGAAGCTCCAGCAGGGCTGGGCCTCTGTCAGTGTGTGCCTCTATGAGGCGTGGCTCAGGGGTTGAGCGTCGACCTATGAACCAGGAGGTCATGGTTCGATTCTGGTCAGGGCACATGCAGGAGGCAGCCGACCAATGATTCTCCCTCATCATTGATGTTTCTCTCTCTCCCTCTCCCTTCCTCTCTGAAATCAATAAAAATATATTTTGAAAAAACAACAACTAAACAAAAATACACTCTAGTGAATGCCTCTCTGTCTCAGGAACAGCGCTTGTCTTTAAGGAGATGACAGTTTGGGGGAGAGACAGACAGAGGTACCACTGTCAGTCCCGCCCGGGACACCGGCTAAGCGCTTAAGTGGGCCTCTGTGAGCGGAGACGGGAGAGGCAGGCGCTGGACCAGCTGACGGAGCTGGGGGTGGGGACGTGAGCTCCTGGGGGCCCGGGGTGTGGGGAGTGGGGAGAAGCGTGTGGTGGAGGCGGGACTGGGCAGAGTCCGTTGGTGGAGAGCCTTGAAGACCACATCCGGGGTTTGGAGTTTAGCCCGAAGGCAGCGAGGAGCCACTGGAAGCTGAGCCTCAGAGACGCATGAATATTTAAGGAGACGCATCCTTCCTCGGCGAGGAGATGAGTTGGAACAAGAATCGGGGGCCCAGGAGACCAGGTGGGAACCTGTTGGTGCTTAAAGGAGGGGGAACAAGAACTATACTGTCCATCTCACGCTGTATCTGAGGGGAGGGCCCGCGGGCGAGGTTTTGAAAGCTAATTCTTGGGAATAGCAGACAGGGTTCCCCCGTGTCCCTCCCTTGCAGGTAGCCAGCAGGGAAGGCCACGCGAGAAGTTTCCAGGGGGAACCGAGGCCGGAGCTGCGCAGGGCTCTGCGAGGCAGTGGTCAGCTCCTCCTCTTCACTGCCACGTGGCTGCTCCTCGTCCTTTCAAACTGTCCATCACCGCCTTCGTGAGGCCTTCCGGAAGCCCCCATTTCAAAGGCAATCTTCTGCCTGGGCTGTGGGCCCCATCCCCAGTGTGTCTCTCTCATTATTGATGCTTCTATCTCTCTCTCCCTCTCCCTTCCTCTCTGAAATCAATGAAAATATTTTTTGAAAAGGCAATCTTCTATTATTTCCCACCCTCCCTCCCTGTTTCCCCCCAAAGCACTAGCCCCTCTGCGTGTCTGTATTGGACCTGTGTGGTGTATTTCTGTACCCTCCGCCCCTGCCCGACAGGATGGCTCCATGAAGAGGGGTTTGTCTGTTGTGCTGGCTGCTCGGCCCCTGGCGTCTAGACCCGGCCTGGCCTGCAGGAGGCGCTCAGCACATATCTGCTGCCTGGAGCAGCTCATGCCCTCTGCCTGCTCTGAAGCGCGTCCCCCGTCTTCCTTGGGGCCTCATCTCATCCTGTGGTGGATCGCATGGTGTCTGACTCTTTCCTCAGCTCTTCAGAAGCAGAGAATGGCAGCCTCCGGAGCCCGCTGCCCCGCGAGGGCTGGGACCCTGGGCTCTGCTGAAGGGGCAGCTCAGGGAACCCGTCTCCTCCAGGGAGAGTTTAACTCAGGCACAGGCTCTGGTGGAGGGCGAGGCTGGCACCGCCCGCTGTTGTCAGGACCCGGCACAGAGTGGGTTCAATGCCAGCTGATGGCGCTTTACAGCGCCAGCCACCCTGTTCCTCCTTCCCGTGGCCGTGGACTCGGCGACAGTGCGTTCACTCATTCATGAGGGTTATTGATCCAGCGCCTGCTTCTGGGACCCGCTGGCTCATTTCCTCAGAGACGAGCGGCCTATTGGGAGCCCCTTGCTGAGCTCCCGTGTCCGGGGCCGAGGCCTCTGCCTCAGCCGCTCGCAGGGAGAGAAGCATCACAGGGGGCGGGCTTCCTTGCTGTGTTGTCTCCTGTTGGTCTCAGTTCACGAGCCCACTGAGCTGTGGATGGCCTCCCTGCCTGCACTGTGCTGCCTCCAGCTGCCCTGCCCAGCTGCCGGGGAGCGTTCATCCGCCCTCCCTGCTCGAGAACCGCCAGGGCTCCCGTGTCTTCCGCAGCTGAACCAGCTCTGCTCGGGGTCCCGGAGCCAGTGCCGTCCAGCCCGCCTCTCCCACCGAGTGGGCTCCCACTGGGGGCTGCAGCCAGCCCGGCCCTCCAGGCAGGCTTGGCCCTTGTGCAGCTCGGGGTCTTTGCCCCGGCTCTTCCCTCCACCAGAGACTGCCAGTTCTTCCTTCTGTCTCCTTTCTTTTTTCTTTAAGACTATACACTTTAAAATACATTTTATATGTATTACTAGAGGCCTGGTGTACGAAATTCATGCACTGTGGCGGCAGGGGCTGGGGGGTGTCCCTCAGCCCAGCCTGCACCCTCTCACAATCCAGGACCCCTCTGGGAATGTCCAACTGCTGGTTTAGGCCCAATCCCAGCCTGGCCTGCGGGGATCATGCCTAAACTGGCAGTCGGACATCCCCCGAGGGATGTAGCAATGCACCAAGCGGCAGGCAGCCAGGGAGGAGCCAGAGCTGGGGCTGGGCATAGCGCCATTCGCGCTCATGCTGCCACTGCACTGACCGTAGTGCTGCTGTGGAGTCAGGAGAGGCTCCCACTGCCGCAGCTGCACTTGCCAGCCATGAGCCCAGCTTCTGGCTGAGCAGTACCCCCCCCCCCCCCGCCCCCACCATGGGAGCACACTGACCACCAGGGGGCAGCTCTTGCCTTGAGCATCTGCCCCCTGGTGGTCAGTGCACATCATAGTGACCAGTGGACTGGTTGTTCTGGTTGTTCCGGTCATTCTGGTCACTTAGGCTTTTATATATATAGATTGATGTCAGAGAGGAAGGGAGTGGGAGAGAGATAGAAACATCAATGCTGAGAGAGAAGCACTGATCGGCTGCCTCCAGCATGCACCCTACTGGGGATCGAGCCCTCAACCCAGGCGTGTGCCCTTGACCAGAATCAAACCTGGGACCCTTCAGTCTGCAGGCTGATGCTCTATCCACTGAGCCAAACCAGCCAGGCTCTTCCTTCTGTTTCCGACAGTTTACTCCTGTGGGGCTCCTGTCCCAGTCTGCCTGCCTCACGACAGGTCCCTGATGGCTGGGCACTGGCGCCCTCCTGTGGCCCCCTCCCCGCGGGCACTGTTGCAGAGTGGGCTTGTTCGGTCGGCCGGTCTCAGGCTCACTCGGTGGGGAGACCTTGGCCAGCCGAGGGGCTTGAGGGGCACCGTGGCCTATCCGTACATGGAATCCCAAGGCGTACAACTTGTGGAAGGTGACGTCCTTTGTGACCGTGATTAACTTGCAACCCGAAATAAAAACGCTGCAGAGTGAGTGAGGTTGGTCATTTCCTTATTGGCCACGGAGTTGCTGTGCTCACTCGCTTTGCTGATCCAGTGGGCGATCGGGAGCGGGTATCGGTGGTTTAAGAAAATGGAAGGGGAGCCTGGCCAGCATGGCTCAGTGGTTGAGCGTCGACCTATGAGCCAGGTCACAGCTTGATTCTCAGTCAGGGCACATGCCCAGGTTTCTGGCTTGATCCCCAGTTGGGGGTATGCAGGAGGCAGCCAGTCAATGATTCTCTCTCATTGGTGCTTCTACCTCCCTCTTTCCCTTCTTCTCTGAAATCATTAAAAATATATTTAAAAAGGCAAGAAAATGGACTGGGAGAAGAAATGCCCCTTAAATTTGGGAACACTGTCTGCTCACCCAGTTTTCTCCTGTGAAAGTGCATGCAGCTGGCGTGTCCCCTGGCAGCCTGGCCAGAATGTGGACTCCCCAGGACAGGGCCTCGGCTGCCTGATTGCCGCTATGGCCCGGGGTCCAGCCCAGAGCCCGCACATGGCAGGCGCTGGCGTTGGAGGAGTGAGAGAACGAGTCACCGAAGGAAGGAGAGGAGGAATCCCTGCTCTCGGGGCTTCAGGTTTGCTGGTCCTTCCCCCAGACGCCAGGCCTTCCCCTTCTGGAATGAATCCTGGCTCTCCCCGTTGTTTCGTACGTGTTTGCTGCACCATGGATGGAGGGGGTAGGGAGTTTCCCACAGCATTTAGCCCTGGATGGAGGTAGTGAGGGCCACGCGAGAGAGGTTCGCACCTACCTGGGGCCGGATTGAAACTCAGACGCCGAGGGAGACAAAGGAAAGCCAGACCCGAACTTACCGAGGGGCCGGTCGCTGCTCAGCGGCCGATCACTGTTCAGCGGCCGATCACTGTTCAGGGGCCGATCACTGTTCAGGGGCTGATCACTGTTCAGGGGCTGATCACTGTTCAGGGGCCGATCACCATTCAGGGGCCGATCACTGTCGGGATCCTGAAATTGAAGGACAACACGCAGTGAACTGAGGGACAAACCTCTCATGCTGGGGCTGACAGGCCCGGGGAGGCGCTGGGTTCTCGTCCGTGTTCCCTTCTCCCTGCGGAAGCGAAGCGGAGGGTCTCTGTGACATCCAACTACTTGGTTCAGAAAATGAAATTTAGTTTTCACCCATGCGACCTGGTGCAACCCGTTTCCTTATTGGGGTGAGTAGTTGCCAGAGTAGAGATGGCTGGTTGCTGCCTTGTTGTGTGTGCTGCCGAGTTTCTTGAGCTGATTCTGCTCTACTGTCTGCTGCGTCCGTCATCTGTCCGTTCTCACAGGTGTGATTCTGCAAACACTTAACAGTCCTCCACACAGGGGCACGCCCGTGGCCAGTAAGTCCCAAAGACGCTCAACATGCAAATCCAAACCACAAGGAAATATCTCTACACCGACACTAGGATGGCTAAAATTAAAAGCCTGACAGCCCTGGCCGGTGTGGCTCAGTGGACAGGGCACTGGCCTGTGGATTAAAGGGTCCCAGGATAAATTCCAGTCAAGGACAGGTAGCTCAGTTGCAGGCTCCTCCCCGGCCCTGACCTGGTTGGGGTGCGTTCAGGAGGCAACTGATCAATGTGTTTCTCTCACATCGATGTTTCTTTTGGTCTTTCCCTCTCTCTTCCACTCTCCCTAAAAATCAATGGGAAAATATCCTGGGGTGAGGATTAAAAAAACAAAAATCCTGACAATACCAAGTCGATGAGGATGTGGAGCAACTGGAATTCTCAGACATGGTTGGTGGGAGTACAAACACTTTGGAGAGTAGTGTGGCTGCACCGGCCAAAGCTAACCCTGTGATGACTATGGTGCCATGACCTGGCAGCTATAGCAAGAGAAACAGGAGCATATACCTAACGCAAAGCCAGTGCACGAATGCTGTGGTAGGTTAACTCACAATAGCTAAACAGTGGAAAAACCCACACATCAATCCCTGGGGAAGGAGATCGATCATTATGGCCTGTTCACCTAACGGAACAAGTCCAAGTGGACAAGCACTAATGCTAAGTGCAATGACGCCTGCATGAATCTCAGACACAACGAAGGAAAGAAACTAGACACAGAAGAGCATTCTCCGTCTGACTTCACTCAGATCGTGGGAAAGGCAAAGTGATGCGCAGTGATAGAGATCAGGACAGTGCTCACCCCTGGGGGGTGGGGAGGGGCTGCAAGGATCCTGGAGGAGCCGTTTGTAATGTTGGAAACTTTCAGGTCTTAATCGAAGAGCCGGCTGCATGGGGTGGGTATAGGTAAACACTCATTGAGTGGTATCACCCGGTTTGAATACTTTACTGCATAGATGTTACTCCTAATAAAACAAGCAGACAAACAAGAACATGGAACTCCCACAGCACCTCAGGGTGCAATCCTAGGGCCCCATCGACACACGTGCACAGATGCATGCAAGGCTCTGCGTTGCACGTAGTCACATGGCTTCCTGTGAGGGCTCGGCACATACAGCCACACGGCACACACGGAAGGAGCCATGCACAAGGCACATGCTACGCTTTCTGCCAGGCGAAGGGCAGGGGAGAGGGCGCTGCCAGTGTGCACACTCCCTGAAACCTGCCCTGGCTCTTGTGCCTTCCAGAGCCTCTGTTGTCTCTCCCCTCTCCAGGTCGGGGACCGCACAGGCTGGGGACAGCAGCTCCAAATGCGAGGTCTCCAGTCGGGGACCTGCCCGGTGCTGTGTTGAGGGTCTGGCTGCGCCAGCGGTGGGGGGAGAAACCGCGGGACCCTAGACGTTGCTGGCAGGGAATGTTCCCGTCCCATCTGGGAGGGAGAGTGTGTCTCCTCACCCCTGTGAGTGTCCCAGATCAGAGATGGGGAGACCCTGGGTGCTGCCTGCTTCCATGGCTGAACACGGCAGATAGTCACTGGAAGAAGGAGCTTCCTTTCTTTATAAATATGTTTTTATTGATTTCAGAGAGGAAGCAGGAGGGAGAGAGAGACAGAAACATCAACCATGAGAGAGAATCATGGATCAGCTGCCTACTGCACGGCCCCCACTGGGGACTGAGCCCACAACCCGGGCATGTCCCTGACCAGGAATCAAACCCTGACCTCCTAGTTCATAGGTCGACGCTTAACCACTGAGCCATGCCAGCGGCAAAGGAGCTTCCTTTAAAAACTGTAGTCTGCTGGAGGGAATGCCTGGCTTGCCCTCTGGTGACACCAGGCCCCGGGCGGCCGGGGTCATAGCAGACAGCCAGGCCCTCGAGTCTGCAGGCTGCATTGTCACCCAGGCGCTGCCTCCCTGAACTGTGAGCCTTCGGGAGGGGCTTCACCGCCCTGAGCGTCAGCATTGCCCTCTGTAACGCGGGAAACACCCGACTTCCAAGTGCCCAGCGAGGATGAGCTGAGACGCCTGGTGGGAGTGCTGGCTGGACACGGAGGCCCCACCTGTGCCCTGCCACCCTGTGCCCGTTGGTGCAGGACTTCATCACTCACCCTCCGCTGGCGCCGGCTTCTCTCTCTCTCTCGTTAATCCTCACCCGAGGATATTTTCCCATTGATTTTTAGAGAAATGGGAGGAGAGACAGAGAAACATTGATGTGAGAGAAACATTGATTGGTTGCCTCCTGCATGCACTCCGACCAGGGCCTGGGAACCTGCAACTGAGGTACATGTCCTTGACCAGAATCGAACCCGGGACCCTTCAGTCCATGGGCCAACGTTCTATCCACTGAGCCACACCAGCTAGGGCTGGGATTCCTGTTTCTTATTGCCTTTATGCCCTCAGGGTTTTGCATTGGCTTATTCTTAGCAAAGACCCAAGAAATGCCTGCTGGATGGAGCTGAACTCAGGCCTCTGCACTGTGGTCCATTTCCAGACATTTCCCTCCACCATCACCAGGGCCTGGACAGGGTCAGTTTCCACAATAAAGATGCGAGTGAACGGGCCTCTCTGCCTTGCTGTGGCTACAGAGTCAGGTGACAATAATGACGACAGTGATCGACACACAAATGGCACATGACAAAGTCCTTTGTCTGAGTCAAATTTAAGGGTGAATAGGATTGATCCTAATTGTCTGATAACCAGTATGTGTAGCACGAAATAATTACTAAACCAAACCAACACTTACTGAGTGTCTCTGTTATATCAGGAGCTGGTCTAGGAGCTATGGGTCAAAGGCAAATGAGAAGTAACTGCAGCGGGGTGGAGAAAGGCCCAGACAAGCAGGTGGGGTCGTGCCCTCCCCTCAGGCAAGGCGGGGACGGGGCTGGATGGGAGAAGCAGGGAGGAGGACCACAGATACAGCAGAAACGGTCAGAGAGTGACGGGCGTTGTGCTGAGAGTAAAGCCGGTGAGGAGTCAGTGGCTGGATGGGTAGTTAGAGTGGGAAGCTGAGGGGAGGGGCCAGGGGTTAGGGCGGGCTTCTGGCTGAGGCTTGAATGACATGAAGTAGCCAGGCAGGCAGGTAGGCAGCAGGCCACACACAGATACAGCAGAAAAGCTAGAGGCCCACATGGCTGGGGACAGAGGAGGGAGGCGGAGGTTGGGTAGATGAAGGCATAGGCCTCACCCGTGGATTGGAGGCTCTTGGGGTTCAGTGAGCAGGCGAGAGGGTACTGGCTGAGAGGCAGGACAGGAGGGGCTGGCTGGAGGGGTGGCATGGACACCCATTTAGTGGCCCTTCCCCAGGCAATGCATTCCTTTCCACTGAGTCTGCACATGCAAGCCAGCCTTAGTGGGAATAGGTAGGGCAAGTCCCTTTTGTTTATTATTAATTCAACAAATATTGACCGTATGGCTTTGATGGGCCTGGAATGTGCTAGAAGCTGAGACACAGGGAACGAAGACGCTCACACTCCGCATTTTCTGGACCTTGAGTTGCTCGTCTTGGACCTGCAGGGACCTCAGCCCGCGACTCATGTTTCAGGTGCTACGCACTGAACAGAGGTCGTGCGGACAAGGGTCTCGCCCTTTTGAAAGCAAGACAGAGAGAGAAATGAATAAACTAAATGAAGACCGTAGGCGAGAGAGAGGGACCGTGTTCTCAGGGTACTGACGGCGTCCCGGGGTCCCCTGCAAGCCCGGGCACACAGCTGGTATTTAATAAATACGTGTGGAAGGACGCAGTCCTGGGCCGGCCTTGAGAACGCTGACTGCGTCATATTCAACCAAAGGATATTAAGCTGCAGTCAAAACAGATGGAGTCTGGCACCACCAAAGAACAGCGATGGCGCCAGCAGAGCAGTGTCAGAGGAGAGAGTGCTAGTAAGTCCCCACATATCACACAGGACGCAGGCCCTTTTTCATAAAGAAGCAAGGAGATGGGGCCATGGACTGGGGATGCTGCTGACTTTGGCATGGCCCCCGGCCTATCAAAGACGTGCAGTCAAGACCTGCCGAGTTGCCCAGCGGCGTGGCTCAGTGGTTGACGTTGACCTACGAACAGGAGGTCACGGTTCCATTCCGATTGGGGCACACGGCCAGGTTGCGGGCTTGATCCCCAGTGTGTGTGTGTGTGTGGGGGGGGCGGGTGTGCAGGAGGCAGACGATCAATGTTCTCTTGCAGCATTGATGTTTCTCTCTCTCTCTCCCGTCCTCTCTAAAATCAATAAAAACATATATTTAAAAAAAGCCCTTCGAATCATTAAAACAGAGACTTGCCCACCTGCCTTGGTAGAAGGGTGTCACAATCAGACATAGGTATTGCTGAGTCCTAGCTTTTGCCTTGGGTGACGGGATGTGGAGGCTTATTCCTTCTTAAAACCATCAGCTACCTGGTGAGTGACAGGAGGCTCTGCATGGACCAACGTGAAGGAGCCAGGATTCTGAGCCCTCGGCGCCCAGTGTCTGAGGGTCAGAGACACGCAAAGCACCTGCCCGGCCACGCGGAGGGGCCCAAGGAGCCAACTCCGGCTCTGCCCCCGCTCTGCCCCCACTCTGCCCCCAGCTCTGCCCCCGCTCTGCCCCCAGCTCTGCCCCCGCTCTGCCCCCCTCTGTCTCC